TAATAATTCCATTAAATAATCTGTTTTAGAGCGTGTACCAAATGACAATTGAATGAACATGGAAAGGAACGTTGTTTTGTAGATTCCCAATTCATATAAATGTCGGATCAACACTCCAAACAGAGTCCGAAGCTCTATTCCAACTTCTGGTGATTTATAAACTTGAATGGAAATTGAAGAGACCAGTGTTCCAATAGAATATAACTGATCTTCCATCATTTGTAAACTATATTTAATTCCATCATATTGTTGTTTGAGATGAGGAGGTAATTGATTTGGATCATCCACACCGCTCTCACGTAAAAGAGTATCTATGCTTCGGTAGAGTGGATCCATAGATGCCACATACATGCTGGAGTTGTAAATGATTTTCTCTTCTTCACGAGTGAGATCAGTGATTCTTGCTTGCATTTTTTAGTTTGTTGTTGTGATGTTATGATGATGAGTGTGAAGGTCTGTCATCATCACACTTCAAAAAATGACACAATCAACCAAATGAACGATACATTTGTCATTCTATTCATGACATTCACTACATAGCAAGACAAGCCAATAGACCCAGTTGCAGGATGGATTTGGCAAACCGGAATTGAAAAAAAATAAAATGTTTGGGACGCTACTATGTCGCTTGCAAGAACAATCGAAACAAAACAAATATAAACTGTTACCCTGATCAACCATCATCAGCACTTCTTGATCAGCATCATTCACAACCTCATCTACTTACCATCAACTTCATTGCTTCAACACCGATCACTGATCGCATCATCATTAACAGCAACAACACTCTCCAGCACAATGCCAAAAGAGCAATCAAAGAAGATCACACCTTCCCAACCTTCAAAGATATCAAGTACACCAAAAAGGCAGCGTCGTCGTTACAAATATCATCCATTGGAGGCCTTTGTTAAAGTGGATAAGATACCAATCACCATGCATCCAAGCCCCCTCAATTTAATCCATTTTACTCACAACTCCCATCGGAAACAAGCTGCTCGTATGGAACTCAAGCTTTTCAACTTTTTGTGGGACATGAATTCTCCTTGCAACGGCCCAGCACGGACTCGATTGCCAATAGGTGAGTGTAAAGAATCCGTTTTTGATATGTATATGTGTAAGACTATGGGGCCCGAGAAGTATGTTCGTGTGGAGCAATATTCTCCTTGGATCAACCGAGAAGGTGACATTGAACGGACTCGTCACATCATTTACGAATTCAATTATCCAAACTTTCCTTCTTTCGGGGATGGGACTTGGGCAAAGAATTATATGAGTGTCGACCAAAAGCATATAATTGACAGCCTTAGAAAGAGATTCAACAGGCCCATTCGCTCAGAACTTGAAACTGTTCAATATCGTTGCATTGCATCCAAGTTGATCATTTCCTACGACACCTCATTCGAATTATATTATGCACACCTCAGTCATTGGGTACAGTCAAAGAATGGAGATTGTTGGATTGAAAGTTTTTGATTTCATTCATCATTGCTAGGACATCCTTTCCGTTTCTTGTGTGACATTGTTGCAGTTACTCTCCCAGCGAAGGCATTGGTGTCTGTATCTTTGGAAGTTTGCTTCTTCCTGTTCTCCTTGTCATTTTCTTGGATCTTTTGAATCATCATGTTCAAATTATCACGATCCGTAATTATGGTTGGGTCCACTAAAGAAGCATCATACCATTGATACAATTCCTTTTGTGGTTTGACATGACTTGCATCCCAAGAATAAAGCTTTTTTAAACGTTTTTCATGCCAATATGTTTCTCCTGTTTTTTCCTTCAAGTCAATTGCGACTAATACCTTTCGCCATTGCCACAATAGCAATTGTTTGGTTGGGTGTATTTGAGTACGACCTCCTCCATTGTTAATAATTCGATTAAACACTGCATGGTGAAATAAATGAGACCGTTCGAATCCCTGATTACTCAAAATCGAGAGTGATAATTTTTCTTTGAAAAGAGAGCTCATTATTGAGGGTACATGAATTATAAAATGGAAATAATGAGCTTTAATTCCTTGAGTCCATATTGAAAAACACGCAACTAAGAATTGCATTATCAGTTTGTCCAATTCCACAATCTTATTTGCTGTCAATACATTGTCATTATTTTCGTTATCTTGATGCATTTCAATAATAATGATAATATTTCGCAACAATTTCAGAATTTGTAAATATTTTTGTTTGGTGCTTGGTTCAATATTATCAACAACTTTCTCAATATTTTGTAAAATAGTGTTACAATGATCTCCCGACAGCATACATGACTTGGTTGATGATCGTGCTGAGGTTTGAGAAATTCCATAATTCGATACTCGTTCGTGGAACTCTTTCCAATTAAATGTTTCCAATCCATGTAATGTTTGTATATTTTTCTGAATCTCATATTTGTAAGTTGTTGATGCCATATAACCGATAACATTTTCTACTAGCCTCTGTTTGATATGAAGAGCACATAGTATTGTTTGTGATGGAGAAAAAGGTAACTGGCCGTCAAGAGAGTCGCGTGGAGTTGATGCAAAATCTACAATAGTTTGAGCCATACAATAGGGACATAAATCAAATGAGAACGTCATGCCTACATTATGCATGTCTGAAACATAAAAAAGGCAAACTTGATGCTTCCCAAAATATTGTTTTTGCAAAACACGCTCAATCTCATCGTGAAGCGTTCCAATTGTTTCTTTGATACTTTCTTTTGTTTCCTTCATCTGAAATAACCCAATATAAAACACAGAATAAACAGCCTGCGATGGAAATACATCTCTTAAATTGAGTGGAACCAATGCAACTGCAACTTGTTTAACTCCATTAATTTCTCTACCATCTACCCCAATTTTAAAAAATATTTTCTTGGGTAATTTTTTCCCTAATGACATACATAGCTTCAGAATATAAAATATGGCTTGATCTAAGTCTATAATATATCCAATGTAGTTTGAACTTGGACATCGTAATTTGAAAGTTTTCTCAACTTGTTCATTTAGTGATTGTTTCGATGTTGTCATCTCTTTCCTTGTCGGGAGTAATGTCATTAAATTGACTTCTTTTCGTAAGTTATGATATGTAACATCAGAAATCAAGTTATTATCTCGCCAATATTGCACAATAGTTACATCTTTCTTTTCAATTAGATATTCTTTCAGTTTTTGATAACGATGGCTGTATCTAATATTTTGCTCTAATTCTTGGATTACTGTTTTAATACCTTCATCAGTTTGAAGATAACATTCCAGCCATGCATGTACATCATGTCCTAAATTACCTAACATTTTCTCAAATATAGACACTATTTCTTTTGCTCGATCTTTCGCTCCACGGTTGTAATTGTCTTGATTTGATTGAATACCAGGGTATTTGTGAGGACATGCTTGGACTTTTTGGTGTTTACAACAAGCACATTCCCAATATTTCAATTCTACTTGTTGATCATTATCAGATTGTGCTTGAGAATGGTTGAATGAGTCACATGTATTGGATTGTAAAGCGGTATCAGTTGTATAACAATTTTTCCATTGTTCAATATTATATTGTTGAGAGCAAATTGGTTGTGTTGGGAATTGTTGAGGCTGTGATTGCTGTTGAGGCTTGAAATAGTTCCAAAGTGCAAATTGGGACAAATATGTCTCACAAGTCTGGTCTGCCAAAATGAATGGTTCGACATACTTAAGCCCAGAATATTGTATACAATTTTGAGAAGCGTTCCATTGATCGTTCCACTGTTGAGAAAGGTTAGGATTAGTGTTTGCTGTTTCCATGCTATCTACTGTTTGAGAGTAATCTTGTGAGGTTGTATTAAGTTCATGTTGCTGACTTGCATCATTAATTATATCAGAAGCTTCTACTATAATATTATTTTCATAAATATCATCATCATTTTCATTAGAGTTCTCGTCAACAAAATAGGATGCAGCATCAGCAACCAATTGATTGAAAGCTTCATCTTGGTCCTCGACTTGAGGCTGGTTGAAAATTTCTTCCATTGAATTATCAAATAATTCATCGTCATCCATACGTGTATCATAGTGATCACTGTTGTGATTGGGATGCGTTTGGAACAGGTGTTGAATTAATAAATCATGATGATCTTTCTTCGACAACTTTAACAGAGTTCCAATAACGGCTGCCAAGCTTAGCAAAATTGCGGACTTTTTTACCTTTGGAAACCCAATCTCTTGCTGTTGGCAATTATTGATCGTGATGTGTTTGCCATAGCTTCTTTCGATAATATTGCAGATTTTTTGATTTTTCTCCTTTTTAAAGAACGATCCAACAATTTCATCGGCAGAATAATATTGATCGCCTTCGTATTGATAGGTATGTAAAGAATGAAGTGCAGGAAGGTGTTCTTGAATCTCTAAAGTTTTACCCATCGCGATGAATTTTAATAATTTTTAATATATAAATGATGATGAACTCTACACGAATTCTAGGAAGCCAATTTTTGTAATATTGTCAACAACATGGCTGTAATATAACAATTCCGAAGTGTGATTCAAAAAGGAAATTACATGACGTGTTTTCGTTTTAGTTGAAGCATAAACTACAGTTTGATCAGGTAGTTAACATTACCCATTTTTTTGTCGAGTATGAAATCTTAATACTCGAAGCCCGGAAGTTTGTTTCGCTGGCAGTTTTGCTATGCTTGACAAATCCTAATAATTTATTCAAAGCCGTTGTCATCCAATGCGTTCATTTAGACATGGCATCAATAGTGGAAATTTTATTTGTTGATTTTTCTCTCTCTCGGAGCGAAGGTATCTTCACACGTACTCTTAACAAATACGTTTTATCCGATCATCATGGAATCTCCTTTTATAATTTACCATATATTAACCACCACCTCATCTTCTAATTCCAATCTTCTAAGTTAGAATGTGAAACATACATTAGAATATTACCAATGAATTGGAGTCCGTTGATGACACGTGCACGAATAATGGTCTCAAAATTTATTCGGATCGCTCCACTCGGACGATAATGGACACCATGATGCACGCTATTATTAAAGTCAATTCTTCTACTTCAATTACAAAGGGCAAATAATTGATTTCAAAACCCACCACCAACAACAACAGAAAAGAACAACACAACAACAATTGCTTGATGCATCGTCCTAATATATACGACAAACAACAAGAAGGCTTTCGAGATGATGTAGCCTCTTCGGATCCAAACGACAATCATGACAACAACACCACCAACATTACTTCAGACGAAGCAAGTATTGGCTTTACCTTTGGAAGGAAATGCTCATCCTCGAACATTATCACTTCTTCATCATCACCACAACATGTACATTTTCAAAACGCAAACACTGATGAAAATAGTAGTAGCAATACTATTACCAACCATAATCAACCAGTCATTGTTGTACCACCACTCTCATCAAACAACCGATTCAATCCTCAGTTGAGTAATGATGAACACCATCATGAAGAGGAAGAAATTGAATTGAAGGATTTAAACGATGATTTCACTCCAAGACAACACTATTTTCGTAACAATCATTCAGCTCCTTCCGAAAGTGCATTCGAGAGTGAGTCGCTGGTTGAAGAAGGAGAGCATGAACAATTGTTCAAGCAACTACGAGAAGAACAGCAACGAAAACGAGAGCTACGTAAAAAGATTACTTGGTGTACCATGCTGAAGGAAACATTCAAGATCTTTTTACCTTTAGGTTGCACAACCTTTGTAGGTGGTATTGCTGTGGTACAGAAAATGTTTGTCGACCAAAAAAAGTGGCTGACTGAAAATGAATTTATGGAGGTATGTTTTTGTAGTGCATTACAAAATTCTTGTTGGAATATATATTGGATTCTTGTGTGTTCACTCACTTTAACATAGATTTATGCTCTAAGTCAAAGTTTGCCTGGACCCATCATTAGCCAAGTTGTATTTTCTATCGCCATGCTCAGATTTGGTTTTTGGAGTGGATTTTTATCGAATATTCTTTTTTGTGGTCCTGGTTTTTTGGGGTGTTTGTTGTTTGGATGGCTTATGGCCGATGTCAATATTGATGAGAACTCGCCTCGTTGGCTTACAAATTTACAATTTGGTTTGGCAACTTCAGGTATTGCTTTTGCAGTATCATCGGCTTGGAGAATGGCTGGAATGTTAACCAAAATGAAGAGCAAAGTTTTTCCTTATGTTTTGGCAGGATCTATTGCTATTACAACCATGATTTATAGGACTACATGGCTATTACCTGCTCTTATTGGTTTGGGTGCGGCTCTGAGTTGCATTTATTTGAAAATTGAAGCTATCATTGAAAAGAGAATTCAAGATTATCACATCAAAGAGCAAGCAGTTGGAGCTGCAACATTTGAGGATGAAGAAATGACCATCAAACAAAAACTGAAATTTGTTTGGATACTTTTACAAAGTTTTGTTAAACCAAAACCTTCAGTGAGCACAGAAGAAGTTACTGTGAATGATGCTGAAGTTGAAGCAGAACAGGAGCAAGTAAGAGATGTCATGAGCAAGCAAGTTCGAACACATTCTCCATTATGGCTTGGGTTTACCATGTTAGCCATATTTATCATGTTGTTCGTGGTCCTATTGGTGTGTTCTGCAATTTTTGCAAAATACAAAAGACCCCATTCTTCTCCTACTGGTGCTGACATTTTCAAGGAAAGTATTTTAGTTTTATCATTCTTCTATAGGATGGGAACGTTTATATTTGGAGGTGGAGTGGGTGGAATACCTTTATTGATGCCAGAAATGTTACAACGACAATGGATGACAAAAGAACAATTTATGAATGGATTTGCTCTGTCTAATGCTTTACCTGGTCCAAAGTATAATGTTGCTGCATATTTTGGAGCAGCTATTGGTGTTAAATTTTCCACGTTTCCTACTGCTCTTAATTCAACATCGAATTCAACATTGATTGCTAGTAACGTGACAAGCGTAATGACATTCGATACAGATTTTTATAGTGTCAACGGTAGTGCTATACCTGTTACTCCAAGCACCCATAGAACTGCTCTATTCTTCATATTACCACCATTACTAGGATTGTTATCAGGAATTTTCTTCCATTTGCCAGGTTATCTGACAATGACAGGCTTTCTTCCTCTCTGGAGAAAAATTAGAGAAAACAATATTATCAAAATGTCACTGGTGGGTGTGAACGCTGTTTGTATTGGATACGTCATTTCAAACGCCATTGATATGTGGATTGACAATGTTGGAATGAATCAATACCTTGCTGCCTGTACCATGTTTTGCTTTTTGCTGAACTTTTTCGATTTTTCTCCTCCAATTATTGTAATTGCTGGTGCAGTGGTGGCTATTGTTGGGGGTGAAATTGGATACGCTATCTTTGGATGATCATTCGTTAACAAAGAAACATTCTCAGTAAACATTCTACGGTTCAATATTCAAACTCGCAGTTGAATCAACAAATCAAACTTGATTAACAACTCAAACTCGATTTTGAAAAACAAAAATGAATTCAAAAAAAAATGTCCTCTTCGTCTGCTGATATTTTCGAAAAGTTGCTTCCGAGAGCAATAGGATCAAGAAGTCTTTCTTTTCTTTCGGGAGAAGGAAACGATTCATCATCTACGACATCAATGGACCTGCTAATATCTCCACCACGATTATCAAACGTCTTGCGTGAAAAGACTATTGGTAATAATTCTTTGCAATTGTTTGATGAGACAAAATCATATTATGAATTATTTCCAGCGATTGAAAACAAGAGAAAGAAGAACGCTGAAGATGACTTGGTAAAATTTGGATTAACTTGGGATAGTTTCATCAAACCAAAAATTTCCTTCTCTCAACCTTCACGTAAAGTGAACGCGAATTTTGATAAAAGAATTGAAGAACAGAACGGAAGAAATTTGTTGGACCACTTTTTGACAGCGATCGAAGAGAATTTGCGCTTGGATCAAGTGTCATCCAACAAATATGGAGTTGCAAGTGGCTTATCGAAAGGACAGCTTGCTTGTTTGATCGCCAAACAACTCTATATTGCCAAAAGAAAGTTTAAGAACAATTTGAGTGTTAAAAGTGTCTTTAAAGATTTACAGAACATGGGTATTGGTTTGACATTAGATCCTAAAATTCAAAAACTTGTTCAAACTGTAAAAGAAGAAAATGTTATCAAGGTTATCCAATATTTAGAAAAAGTCGTTGATTGGATTGACAGATTTGCAAAACCTGGACTACATGAAGAGGAAGAACGAAGATACTCCAAAATAGAAAAGGTACTCATTGGAACTGGTGAATCGAAGAATACCAACACTCATTTTGTTACATCTGAAAGTGAGAATGATGACAACGGCATTGATATTGATGAGAATGTAGAATTCGGATCTATGGATGATGCTGAGCACTCCGCACATTTATATCACCAATTTAGACCTCTTGTGGTATTTTCTAAGAGTCAACTTGAGAATGTGTTGGATCAAACAAATTTATTTTCACATATTTCTCAAGAAGATGAAGATATTTATGATGAAAACGAAGAAGAAGAGGAAGAACCAACATCCATGTTCAGCATGGAATGGCTTGAAAAAGAATGCAAAAAAGTTTGTAAAACAGCAGGAATTGAAAATGCTGTTATGGAATTGTTGCAAAAGAAGGGCCAAAGCGATGTTGAACTTCAATCACGACTGTTTGACATTCTTGGAGAAAACGCTTTCGAGTTAATGTCAATTATTATGGAACACAAGTCAGAGCTTTTGAAAGATTTTTACAAACGACAAATGGAAGAAAATGCCGTTGAAGGTATCAACTCTTTCTCTCATATCAAGATGACCACTTCAAAATTCAAAGAAGCTAAAAAGGGTTTGAGAAAAGAAGGTAAAAAACTTGGAAGAAAACATCAAAAAAAAATCAATCTTTCTGGTGGCGGTGTTAATTTGAACGAACAACTTGAATTGAAAGAATTATATCAAAAATTCAAAAAAGAAAAGGATCGTACAGTTTTGAAGGAAGGAGAAGGAGAAGCAAGAGTTTTGAAATTAGGAAGAGATGTCATTCCAGAAGACAAGAATGAAGCTGACAAGGAAACACAAGAACGTGTCATTAGACAACAAACCTATGAAGAACACGTTTTTCCAGCTCCAAAACCACGTCAAGATACTCAACCTTTGGTACCTATTTCAGTTTTTGAGGACTGGGCACAACTTGCATTTAAGGGATACACTCATCTTAACCGTGTTCAATCTGATGTTTTCTACTCAGCTTACAAAACCTCAGAAAATTTACTAATTTGTGCACCAACAGGATGTGGTAAAACAAACGTTGCCATGTTAACAGTATTGAGAGAGATTGGACAACATTTCAGAGGTGGAAAAATAAGACGTGAAGAATTTAAAATTATTTATATTGCTCCTATGAAAGCTTTAGCAGCTGAAATGGTCGAAAACTTTTCAAAGAGACTTGCTCCGTTAGGTATTGTTGTAAAAGAAATGACTGGAGATATGCAACTTACAAAGCAAGAGGTTCAACAAACTCAAATGATTGTCACAACTCCCGAGAAATGGGATGTGACTACAAGAAAAGCTACTGATCAGGCACTCATTCAACTCACTCGATTAATCATCATTGACGAAGTTCATCTACTGAATGAAGATAGAGGTCCAGTCATTGAATCCATTGTTGCAAGAACATTACGACAAATGGAAACTACTCAATCATTAATTAGATTAGTTGGTCTTTCTGCTACATTACCAAATTATATGGACGTTGCTCACTTCTTGAGAGTGAACCCTCATTCAGGATTACATTTCTTTGATGGATCTTATAGACCTGTACCTCTTGAACAGAGTTTTATTGGTGTTAGTTTAAGAAATCCAATTCAAAGAAGTCAAGAATATAACAATATTGCTTATAATAGAGCTCTTAAGAATTTGAAGAAACAAAAACAAGTGATGGTATTTGTACATTCAAGAAAAGAAACTTCAACTACCGCAAAAGCATTACTAGATTTAGCAATGCAAGAAGGTACTTTAGAGTTTTTCACTCAAGGAGTTCCTGAAAATGAACATACAAAGAAATGGGTAACCAAAGCCTTGGAGAAATGTCATAATAGAGAATTGAAAGATTTAGTTCCAAAAGGTCTTGGTATTCACCATGCTGGTTTAGTAAGATCTGACAGAAATCTTGTTGAAAAATTATTTGCTGAAGGTGTTATTAGAGTTCTCTGTTGTACATCAACACTTGCTTGGGGTGTAAACTTACCTTCCTATTGCTGTATTATCAAAGGAACAGAAGTCTATAATGCAGAAAAAGGTCAAATGACTGAACTTGGAATGTTAGATATTATGCAAATTTTCGGTCGTGCTGGTAGACCTCAATTTGATGTTGAAGGTGAAGGTGTAATCATCACTAGTTATGACCAATTACCACGATATTTGAACTTACTCAAACGTAATTTACCAATTGAATCACAAATGACCCAAGATTTAGCAAATCATTTGTGTGCAGAAATTGTTTTGGGTACCGTATCCAATGTGAGAGAAGGTTCTCTATGGTTGAATTACACCTATCTATTTTTAAGAATGAGACAAAATCCAATGAACTATGGACTTACATTTGAAGAAGTTCAACTTGATCCTACTTTAATTGGTACAAGAAGAACACTTATTGAAAAAGCTTGTAAGGTTCTTCAAGACAGCAAAATGATTATCTATGATGAAAAAACAGGAGTTGTTTCAGCAACCGATCTTGGACGTATTGCTTCTCATTATTACATCCACTATGAAACAATTCAACTCTATAACGAAAAGTTACATGCTAATTTATCTGAATCTGATGTGTTACAAATTGTTGCAAGCGCTCGTGAATTCAAAAATATCAAAGTTAGAGAGGATGAAAGCGAAGAGTTACAAGAATTATGTACAAACTCTCCTGTTCAGGTTAAAGGATTGAACGATTATACTGGAAAGGTCAACGTCATGATACAAAGTTACATTTCACATGTAAAGATCAAAAACTCTTCCTTGATCTCAGATTGCGCTTTCATTGTACAAAGTGTAGGAAGAATTGTGAGAGCTCTCTTTGAAATTGCTGTCAAGGAACGATGGTCATCATTGATGGACAAACTTTTAACTCTGACAAAATGTATCGATAGAAGACAATGGGTTTTCGAACATCCTTTAAGACAAATACCAAAATTACCATCTTACACTATTCAAAAACTTGAAAGTAAGAAATTAACACTTTCTAGATTGGTGGAATATGAAGAATCAGAGCTTGATCAAGTTATCAATGTTAAAGGAATGGGAAGAGTGGTTATGGAAGCAATTGATAAATTCCCTAATCTTGATTTGGAAGCAAACGTTCAACCAATCACAAGATCAGTTTTGCGATTCCAAGTTAAAATCAGACCAAACTTTACATGGGACAAAAAACTTCATGGAGAAACTGAACCATGGTGGATTTGGGTTGAAGATGAAAATTCAGAATATATTTATCACTCTGAATATTTCCTATTGAAACAATCAGAACATGAAAAGATGATGAAAGAATCTAAAGGTGAAGAGGATGACCCATGTTTCACTTTGAACTTTGTTGTTCCATTTAAAGAAGATCCACGACCACTATATTTCATTATTCGTGCAGTTTCAGATAAGTGGATTAGTGCTGAAGCTCAATTAACGATTAACATTAAGGATATTATTTTACCCGAAGGTTTTGCTCCAAGTACACCATTATTGCCACTTGATCCACTTCCAGTAACTGCTCTCAATAATCCAAATTATGAAAAACTCTTTACAGATAAGGGAATTAAGTATTTCAATCCTGTTCAAACACAAATCTTCCACATGGCTTACCATTCTGATGAAAATATTTTGGTGGGTGCTCCAACTGGTTCAGGAAAGACCTCAATTGCAGAATTGTGTATGATGAGATTGTTTACTTTGAAACCTCAATCTAAAGTTATTTATATTGCCCCATTGAAAGCCCTTGTAAGAGAACGATTGACTGAATGGGAAAAGAAATTTGTTCAAAAACTTGGAAAAAGAATGGTTGAATTGACAGGTGATTTCACTCCTGATGTCAAGTTATTGAAGCAAGCTGATATTGTCATTACCACACCTGAGAAATGGGATGGTATTTCCAGAAATTGGCAAAATAGATCCTATGTTAGAGATGTTGGACTCATTGTCATGGATGAAATTCATTTACTTGGAAGTGAGAGAGGTGCAATTCTTGAAGTTATTACATCACGTATGAGATACATTTCTTGGAATACTCAAATACCAATTCGTATGATGGGTCTCAGCACCAATATGGCCAATGCTACTGATTTGGCTGATTGGTTAGGTGTCACTCAAAGAGGTCTATTCAACTTTAGAAGCTCAGTTCGACCTGTTCCATTACAAATCAGTATTTCTGGATTTAGTGGAAAGAATTATTGTCCTCGAATGAACTCTATGAATAAGCCAGCATATCAAGCTATTTTGAGACATTCCAATAACAAGCCATGTCTTATTTTCGTATCATCAAGAAGACAAACCAGATTAACAGCTATGGATTTAATTGCATATTGTACCGTTGATGAAAATCCTCAAAGATTTTTGAACATGAATAATGATGAGCTGATTCAGGTTTGTGAGTTAGCTCGTGACACCAATCTCAAACAATTTTTAACGTATGGTATTGGAATTCACCATGCTGGTTTAACTCCATCAGATAAGAAACTTGTTGAAGAATTGTTTTTGAATGGTAAAATTCAGGTTCTCATTGCTACAGCAACATTGGCTTGGGGTGTCAACTTGCCAGCCTACTTTGTCATTATTAAGGGAACTGAATACTTTGATCCAAAAACTAAGCGATATGAGGATTATCCACTTGTTGATGTGTTGCAAATGGCAGGTCGTTCTGGTCGTCCTGGATTTGACGAAGAAGGAAGAGTATTTATCATGGTTCATGATGTGAAAAAGAATTTTTACAAGAGATTCCTCTATGAGCCATTCCCAATCGAATCAAGCTTACACACTCAATTACATGATCACATTAATGCTGAAATTGTATCAGGTACCATCAAGACAAAACAAGATTGTTTGGATTATTTAACATGGACATTTATGTTCCGTCGTTTAGTTCAAAATCCTTTTTATTACGGTATTGAAGATTTATCTTATGAAGGTCTTAATAAGTGGTTATCGAATAAGATTTCTGAAATTATTGACGACTTGGAATTTGCTGGACTTGTGAAGGCCACAGATTTATCTATGGATAAGAAGAAACTTTTACAAGTTATGGCTACTGAGTCTGGAAATACCTTTGGTACCATGACAGCAGAGAAGGAAAAGTCTGAAAAAGAAAAACAAAAGAGAAAGGGAATTTATTTAGAACCTACTGCTACAGGTATTATTGCCAGTTACTATTATCTATCATATAGAACTGCATCTCATTTCAACAGACTTATTAGACCTGATTCTAACATCAATTATCTATTGGAACTGCTTTGTGAAGCCAAAGAGTTTGCTGAAATTCCAGTTCGACATAATGAAGACAAGTTAAACAAGGAATTGAGCGAGGTGGTGCCATTAGGAAGTTATTTATATGATTATGAATCTCCTCATGTGAAATGTTACTTGTTGTTGCAAGCTCACTTCGAACGAGTCAAATTACCAATTGTAGATTATATTACCGATACTAGAACTGTATTAGACTCAACTATTCGTATTGCACAAGCATATATTGACATTTGTGCTGAGAAAGGTTATTTACAAGCGTCTTTAAATATGATGCATATTTTACAAATGATCATGCAAGCGAGATGGGAGAAAGACTCAACTTTATTCCAATTATTTAGTAACTTGCCATGTCCACGTGAAAACACTAACACGAATGATGAAATTTATCAACTTGTCGAATTATTAGGAATTAAGGAAAATATTACTGAATTGAAACAATTACTCTCCATTCGATACTCTTCAAAGAATGGAGAAAATTCTTTACAGCAATTGCTTTCCAAGTATACAAAGAAGAATAGTTTAGTGAGCAACATTATGAAAATCATTGATGAATTTCCATATTTAACTGTTCGTGTGGATCAAGTATTGCATGACGAAGAAGAGCACAAGATTGAAGTGAACATTATTATTGAAAGAATAAGCAAATCAAAAGAGCAAGCTTATACTCCCATGTATACCAAGCAGAAAGATGAAGGATTTTGGCTCATTGTTTCAAATCCAACCAATCAAGAACTGTTAGCCATGAAGAGAGTGAGAGCCAATAAGAAAATCAATCCTACAGAAATTTATCTTCCAATTACTGAGAACGATAAGGAATTGGAAATTCGTGTAGTTCCCGATTGTTATTTAGGTTTGGACACGAGTGCTAAATTCTTGTGCAAGATTCAAACACACTGACCATAAAGTGCAAATAAATCTTTTTGTAAAATCTTCATTCAATTTTATTTGAGTGACACTTCTTCCCATGATTTGTTGCCGTGTATGAGATCCAGTAATGTAGGAACAAGCTCATCAAGTGGAAGCCTTACTTGGTCGCACGAGTCACGCTCCCTAATTGTAACGGTGTTGCACTCGACGCTTTGATTGTCAATAGTGACAGCGAATGGAATACCAATTTCATCGGCTCGTGAATATTTCTTACCAATGGTTTGATTGGCAGAATTGTCCACACGAAAGGTAATACCATTTCTTGTGAATAATTGTGTTAAAGTTTTGCTCATACCTTCGAACGAAGATGCACGATTGGAAATTTGTGAAATCAATACGACCATGTAGGGAGCAATTATTGTTGGGAGAGACAATACATATTTTTGTGACATCTTTTCATGTAAGTAATTTCCTTTTCGTACCCAGAAACACTGTTCAAGTAGGCTATAGATCAATCGACCGATATGAAAAGTCGTCTCAACAGCACACGGTTCGTATTTGTACCCATATATTTTCGTTATTCTTTTTTGGAACGAAATGAAATCACTCGAAAGCTCTACTTGTCGATCGAGTTGTGGGATATAGATTGAAAATTTTCCATTACTCTCTAATTCTTGTTGAAGTTCCAGCTTTTTGTTATTCGTCAGTGTTTCCAGAAAGTTAAGAACCACACGTTTGTTCTTTCTCAATATTTTTCCAAGCTTTTCGTGTTCAACTTCCATCACAATATTTTCTGACGTCAATGGCTGGTCGAATGTTTCAAATGCCACCAATGCATGCCTCGACTGAGAGGAATGGCATTTAAGATCGTAACAATAATTGTTAACAATATCAACAACCTCAATCCATCCCAAAGAGCTTTTCAATTCACAGCTCCAATGATCCGTGGTTGAAAAAGACATTTCGTGTGATAGGTGTTGCCGAAATCGAATGGCATTAGGTAATACACCACACAGATCCATAAACAATTTCACTTTTGCAATATAATATGCTTGAATGGGGCTGTTGACAAATTGTTGATTCAATACATCTTCAATGGAAAAATCCATAGGTGGCAAACTCATGGTTTGATTTTCTCGTGTCAACAATGGCACCATGACATGCTTTACTTGATCCATTCGAGGATGCATGTCTCTATTTGGGTTGAAAAAGCATATAATTTCGGTACTTGTGAATTCTCTCACCTCACTTAACACACTTTTTGGATAAATTTCATTTCGAAACACTTGTCCTATCTGTGCTGCAGCAAATGGTAGCTTGTTTCTATTGACCTGCAACAAGCGATTGAAATTGCAATAAATATTTTGTTTCAAATCTTTACGAAGGTAATTCTTGACCTTTTGATTGGTAGATCCTTTGTTATGTATGGAAATTGGGAACATTAAATTGTAGAAATGAATATTGTGCAAGTATTTTCCTGTTGCTGGATTTTTCACACGATACTTTTTTATAAATTCATTCCAAAACTCTTCATCACCACTTCCAGCCAAAGATGAACGAATTTTCTTTTTTGCCAAATACAATTCCTCAAATTGTTCTGGTCTCAATAATTGTGAATTTTCATCCAGTTCAGTTTCAATAAAATTCTCTAGAATTCGATCCACTCTCGAAACGTAGTTGTTTCTTGCTGAGTATGGATGCTGTTGAGATGAATGGCACGGAAAATCAAATTCTTGTGCCATCCAATCGGAATGTTGTTGGAGGTGTCCATTGGCTGATAACACACATTCCATGGTCAGACTTGAACCATCCATTTCGTGTACATTTTCCTCATCTCTAATAAAATGTTGTCTCCATAATTGCAGAATATTATTCTTGATGGAGCAAGTTGGAGGTCCATAATCATAACATCCAGAAAAACCTCCATAAATTTCAAAAGAAGGAACAATGAAGAAGCGCCGAATCAATAATTGATGAAAATCATCATCTTCCGACGAGGAAGATGTATCGTTAGTGTTGTTGCTACTCATCCTCAAAAATATTTTTCGTTATTTTTGCAGCCAAGGACTTCTTTTTGCATTTTTAGCACCAAAGTTCTGGAAAATGACAGCGAAGCATTTCAATTCATGAAAATGTCATTGACTAATCACCTTGGTTAACAACATGAGAAAAAGAGGCCAAATTCAAGGGGTACCAGCATCTGTGTAATCTTCAACATTAAGCGTACAAAACGTGTGAGGAATGACCTTAAAGTTAAGTTAATTTTGGTATAGTTATTAATAGAAGAAGAAAAAACGAAAAAATGGCGTTATTGAACAGCACTTGTACCACTCACTTGTTAGATCTTGATTTTAATGTTCTTCTGTATGAGGTTGTTGTGGCCCATCTCGACGATGCTTCATGGATCTCTTTCGGATCATCATGTAAATTATTGTACAACAAACTCGTCAATAACCCCAACATTTGGGAAGAAAAATTGAAATTCCTAGATCAACAATTTGATAAAACTCTCAAAGAAGAGGAATATCTCGATCATTTCAAAGGACAAGAACAACGTATTGCAGATAATTTTCTGCATGGATATTATCAATTCAGACACAACATGTTTACTCGTTTGGATTCCAATAATTGTTTAAACGACGGAGGAAATGATCTTGAGCCGTTGATGAGAGCTTGGAAAAAGACCATGACCTCAGAAGGGCAACAAAAAGAGGACACCAGAGCATCCACCATGAAAATTCAATACTTGTTATTTAAGAAATATATGTTTTGTAATATTGTGAGCAACGGCGGCTCAGACAATGCCCCTAATGTTTGTAGACATTTAAATCACTCGGTAATGGCGACTTACAATGGGTTTTGGAGATCCTATTTTGTGAATAATCAACTGAAACCACAACAAACGTATTGTTGGTCCATTTTGTTAACACAATTTGATCGATCTTCTTCCAACAGTTGGACAATTCTTGTAGGTGTAAATTTCAACGATATTCAAGGAATACCAGAACCATTGACCACATGGTTGAGTTTTGGTTATTGCGTCAAATCCAATGCCATTGTCAAGCAATCATACACTTCATATGATCTCTCAAATGTCAACCAAGAGGGACATTTAATTGGGATTAAGTGCAATTACCGAAGAGGTCACGTGGATTTCCATGTGTATTTAGCAAATGGCACAATTCACCGTTTTGAATCAAACGAAAGTACAAAGGGTATCTGTCGACCGATTGTATCATTAGTGAATGGCAAACACATGGTAACTGTGTTGCCTTGGGATGGTAATGTTAGTAGTTTACAGTTGTCGAGCAGTGACACTGATCCACCTTCAGGCGTATCGTCCGAAGAAAAGAAATGTTTGAATATGTGAGCAATCGAACTTCATAAATTTTCACGATGCTTCAACAATTATTGAGAGTTCGCTAGTAATTCCAGGATTTTAAAGAATTCATTCACACATGTTAAGAGAAAACATCTTCCAAAACAAAATCAACAACTTGACGGTGGTCACACTTTTGACAAATGCTTCATTTTGCAACCCATCCTTTTGCTTCTTCGTCCTCATCTTCCGAAGATGTTGTTGTTGCCAACCATAGTGACGATCCGAACTGTTCCGCGATTGGATCATATAAAAAACAACAACCTTCTCCTCTCTCTGATCATCTCTCCTCCACAAAATCCATCAAACGAACCTTTTCCAAACTTCTTTTACAATATGAACATGATTTCAAAACAGCACTCTCTCAAGAACAAGATGTTTGGAATGAACGAAAACGTCTTCTCACAGAAAAAGAACAAACCATTGCTCATAAAGAACATGTGCTAGAACAGAATGAACGAGAATTTGAGAATATTGTGCAAGCACAGGTTTCCAAACAAGAAACGCAAGGAAATGATGAGCGATTATGAAGAACGAGAAACAAAAATTTCAAAAATTGAAAAACGCATTGCTTCAAGTGCCTTGTTAGAGTCTCGTCTTGGTCCGAATCAAGTCATTCGTTTAAATGTTGGAGGTAAAATCTATTGTACATTTCTCTCCACCTTGAAGAATGAAAAGGATTCCTTCTTTTGTGCCTATTTTAACGATTACTTTGATCCGAAACCGGAAGAACACGATCAAGCCTTTTTCATTGATCGTCCCTATGAACATTTTCATTTGATTTTGAATCATTTGCGAGGAATGGATATTTCCAAAAACTTGAGCGAGATGAAAGAGAGTGAATTGTGTAACTTTATGGAAGAGGTGGTCTATTATCAAATCTCTTCAATTTTCAATTTATTTCCGAGTCATGGGAAAGCCATGTTGATGAACAAATTCAATATTCATGTTCCAGATATGCTATTTCATCCCAATTACATTTCTTCTAATGCAGAACTCTCACCTGACCACAGAAGAATTCAAAAGATCAGTGGTGGCTATGAGTGGAACTGTGCCTGCATGGGAAAAACAGAATGTACTGAATTTTCAGTCAAGCTTGTAGCCAATTGTTCGCATGTATCCATTGGGTTCTGTACTACACGATTGGTTAAGCTCAATTCTGACAATACTTCACTGTCCTTTAGTTTATGTACCCATGACGGAAAATTGTATTGTTCAAGAAAGTGTTTACGATATGGTCACAAGTATATATATCAATCCATTCATGATGGATCCGTCATTAAGGTTATTTACGAACCCAAGAGAGGAAGAATTTCGTTTCTTGTGAATGATATCAATCGTGGAATGGCATTTGATCGTGTTGGGTCAAATTTGACACTTTATCCAATTATTGAGCTTGGTACTCCAGATGCTCAAGTGGAATGTTTGTAGAAGAAGGTATATGGTGTATCATAATGTAATTCAATAACAACCCTTACTTATTGTTGGACCTTGTTTTTTGAACAATGAACTTTTTTCACCATCGCCAGCTGTCAGACATCAAGAAAAAATGTTCGCTTGCTTCTCGGGTAACAACAAACCCAGACAGTCATCAAACACCTCACCATCATCAACATCTCCCAAATCATCATCCTCTCGTCAACAATTGAATGATCAACTCTCTTCGGAATTACTCTCCATTTTACTTTCCTATTTTTCTCTTGAAGAGAAATTACGAGTGTTGAGATTTGTTTCGAAAGCATGGTTTACCTTTTGTTGGATTAGTACCAACAAAATTCATATTGATCAAACATGGAATCAACAATTTGTGGAATATGTAATTAAATATGTAGTATTAGACAAGGCATTACCATTTGTGGAAGAATTGAGAATTGAGCATGAAGCAGTCTTCAAAAAGGAATTTTCAACAACTAGTTCTACCATTAAATTATTTTCACAAAAGTTTGCTTCGAAAAGCCGTCGCCTCAAATCACTGTATATCAAGCCAGCTATTAGTGCAGATGAACTCTATTTTATTTGTACTAAATTACCAAATTTGACACATTTACATGTGAACATTCATAATTGCAGAAATGAAACCACCAACAACATTATTAGTGAATTTTTTGAAGAGCCATCCATGACTGAACCTAACAATATTCAGTTCAAAAGCAATGATATTGTTTTGCCCAAGTTGAAGTCTATTACGATTGAAAATGCCAACTTGTCGAAAGAATTCATCTCAAAATTCTTATTATTGATGTTACAGAAGAATCTATTGATGAATCTCAGAAGCATGGGACTTGTTCAATCGGTTCAACAAGGAGTTCCATCAACCGACGGCTGTGAAATGTTAGATCATTTAGAAATTGCTAAAAGTAGTCTATTAGATGAAGCGTTTGAACAGTTCGAGAAGTATTTAAAATTCTACTGCGAAAATGAATTGAAAATATTCGGAAGCGTCAGTGAGAAGTCGTACAAAAATACCATTCCCTTAAAATCACTTATTTTCAAGTACAATTTGTCGATTCAAGATTCTGGATGTGTGGCTTGTTCAAATATATTCAAAGGTATTGAAACGTTACATTTTGATAAGAATAAGAAACCTGAATTGACATTTGGAGCTGCTCCTAAAACGAACGAAGATTCATTGATCACAGAAAATAATGGATTGACAAGTATCTTGTACAAATTCAAAGATACTTTAAAAGATTTGAAATTGTCAGAGTTTGCATTTCATGCGTCAGGACTACAGGATGACATTCCATATAATTTCACACAAGTTCTAACTCATTTGACAGAATTGAGGGAAATTCATCTTGATTTGGGTTCATGCTCAAGATCTGTCAGCGTACAAGCTCCCTATTTATGCTCAAATCTATTTGAATTATCGAATCATCTCGAAAAAATTGTGCTCAATGAATGTGGTGATGTTCTAACACAAGAAGGATGGGATTCCATGACTGGAATGCACATGTCCACAGATAATTCCATTTATCCCAAACTGCATACTCTCTATATTCACAGTGGGAAAATGTATAACGTGACTAGGAGTTTAATCAGAGAAAATGCCTTTGTGAATTTGAAACATCTCACTCTGGATTATTGTTGCAGAATTGAGAGTTTATTTACCACTGCAAAGGAACCTGCCTCTACCTCAACCATTAATGAGAAAGATGAAGTTGTATCAGTGATCAATAAGAAAAAGCTACACTCGTTGACATTTGAGAGATGTATTCGACTCAGGCGTGGAATGGAGCAATTGCTAGCCATGTGTGATCTCAAGGTTCTGGAACAGCTTGATTTTATTGACTCCAGGGAGTATACAAATTTTGAATGGATGTTAAAACTGAATCATGTGAAACAGTTGGACCTGAGTAACAACATTCAAATGAAGGATGAAGATTTGAGAGGCCTAGTTAATTGTGAACAACTTGAAAAGTTATCTCTTGCTCATAACAAAACTCTCAACGGAAAGGGACTTAAATATTTGGCAAATTCTCCTCGTGTTTGCGAAACAATGCGAGAATTGAATTTAGATTGGTGTACCAAGTTAGAGGATGAAGGCTTGGAAAGCGTTTCCAAATTCACAAATCTGAGAGTATTCAACATTCTGCATGTTAAACGAATCAATCGATTTGACTACTTGAAAAGTTTGACACAACTTGAAACATTAATCTTAGTAAGATGCTTCAATATCAAGGATGACAATATCATTCCAGTGATAGAAAATTGTCCTCATATTAGAATTCTTACCATTCATGGTGGTCATTATGGTTACAATGAATTCATTACTAACAAAACCATCAAAGCTATTACACAACATTTGAGATCAATTCAACAATTGACTATCAACTTTGCAGCCATTACAGACAAGGGAGTGAAGGAATTAAGCTCATTACCATATCTCACTCATCTTAATGTCCAGAGATGTAAAGTCACAGAAAAGATGCAAAAGTATTTCCCTCACACTTCAATCATTATGGATATTGATTACAAAAAGTAGAGTTCATCAGTTTCTTTGAAGTACGTATGGTAGAAAATCCAATCTTGTACCGCTGTAATACATGAGAAGGAGATCTATAATGTACACTAATAATGTCCTTATGGGCAAGTTCATTAAAAACAGCTGTAATCTATCGTTTAAGGAAGATTCTCGTCTGTAAAACGGAGTGCTGAGAGCGTCACTGCTTGGCGGACATGATGTTAGAGTTGATAGCTTGTTACATTGCTCATCCATTTGTTTCAATACTTCTCGGTACTGATCCATTGTCTTTTCAACGCGACGGTTCTTTTTTGAAGATTTATCTTTTCCAACTTTGTTTATGGATGATGTCTGATTATCCTTGTCACGTTCTGCGGCTGTTCCAGAAGTTTTTACAACCTCGTTTACGGCATTGTTAATATTGTTAATCGTTTCTTTAAAGATTGGTAACAATTCGCGTGTTTGTGAGAGGAGAGTGTACGACAGAGTTTCAGCTGCATCAATCACATTTTCTGTTGTTGTTTTCATTTCTGCTTGAATAAGGTTGAGACTATTATATTTACACGTCCACTCCTCAGCTTTTTCAAGAATTGAAATTAATTTTTTAAAGCATGCTTTTGATTCTTCCACTAGTTGTTGAATAGATTTTGAAAGGTCCTCCTTGGCGTTTGCAGAGCATATTGACAACGTAGTTAAAATATTGGAAAGTTTAAGCTGTGCCTCATAAATTTTCTCTGATTGAGCACGACTTTGTTGCATTTCAGCGTTTCTCAACTGATTTGACACCTGTGGAGTGATAAATACATTGTTTCCAATTGAAGTGTCAGCTCCATTAAACTTAGCGATTTCTCTTTCACGCTCTGTTCTAGAATTGGCTTTGGCAATGCTCAATAAATTACTCATGACCGAATCGATCAAATCATAACTGTAAAACACTATTACAGATCTCAAAATAGCCTTTATCACCTGAGAAATCCATGGTATGTCTGTTATAGTTTGTGTACTAGAAGTGGGTGATTCTGATTGCATGTTGTTGTTGACTTTCATTGTTCGTAGCATCATCAATAAATTTCCAATTGATTCCACATTGAATACATTGAAAAAGCTATAGTAAAGTCCAGATACAATCATATGAATAATTCTAAACGATTTTCTTTTAAACATATTCAATGTATCTACATGATCATCATTTTCCATTCTTCTCAGCTGAATAGCTGTTTCTATTATTTCGTTCAAAAACTGTTTTCTTTCTCGCAAATTCAAAAAATCCTTCCAATAGTAATTTTCGTGATCATAATTTTCGGAACGATCCGAATTTTTCTTTCTAATTCTAATTTCTTGATTTGTAGTATTAAGAGAAATTTTCAATTCTCCAATTTCATGATTTAAATAATTAAATAAATCTCTTCTTAAAATCTCGCTTAATTTTTCATATCGCATCATGTAATGATCCCGAGATTGTCTTCTATATAATTTATCTAACAAAAAGGAAATGAAACAAACAATGCTATCATCCAACACCACACTCCAGAAAAGAGAAATATATCGCTTTCCAGCCACAGGAGAAGATGTACTCAGCCACGAAGACCATGTTGAAGAATTTGGCGAGTAGTAACTCGAGTTATAATTCCTGTCATTGCCAAAGTAAGAACCAGATGCATTCATTTTTTTGTTTGCTTTGCCTAATCAAGAACAATTCTCGAATATAATATAATCATCAAAAGATTTAACTCATGAATTACTTTAACAACATTTCCAATATTGCCATTCTCATGAACATGCCATTGTTCATTTGTCTGAAATATGCAGCTCTTTCATCAGAATCAATAGCTTCATCGAGCTCATCTACTCTTGGTAATGGATGCATAATAATTGGCACATGGGAATTCCTAGAAGCACTTAAATTTTCTTTCTTTAAACAGAACGAGGACTTGAGCTTTAAATATTGTTCTTCGCTCTCAAATCGTTCTTTTTGTAATCGAGTGACATAAATAACGTCCAATTCGTTCATAATTTCAGGTGTTAACATTTCAGTCTGTACGAGAGTATGATTGACACCCAATTGAACACATTCATCAATCACGTATTGAGGCATTCTCAATCCTTCAGGCGAAATTAAATAAATTTTCAAAGGTTGATTTCTAAAATAAATATATAACAATCTCAGTAAAGAATGAACCGTTCGACCATATTTTAAATCTCCAAATAAACAAATTGTTTGCACTTGAAAATCAATCTTCTTGGCCACTCGATCTTGTTCTTCCTTAATTGTAAATAAATCTAAGAGAGCCTGTGTTGGATGTTCTCCATCACCGTCTCCTGCATTGACCAAAGGTTTTGTTAGATAGGACGACATTTCTTGATGAACTCCTCTCTTGGAATGTCTCATCACAGTTAAATCTCCATATTGTTCCATCACTCGGAGTGTGTCTTGAAGAGATTCACCCTTCACGCTGCTGCTACTTTGAATATCCAAAGTTAGAGGATGACCTCCCAATCTCAACACTGCACTCTGAAAACTGCACATGGTTCTGGTAGAAGGCTCAAAAAACAACAAATTGACAATCTTATCTTTGAGGATGGAATTGTATTGATCATGTTGTTGAGTACTGAAAAAATGTTTAAATTCAGAAGCACGGTGGCAAAGCCTTTCGCTGAGTTGCGGAGTGATTTGTTTGATAGTAATGAGATGAGATAATTTGTTAGTGCTTTCGGAATGAATGGATTGGGAAATCATGGTGTGTTTTCGGCAGTGGAGAGGTGGTTGTGTTGGTGAAGATGATGAAAATACTGGTTATTGTTTTTTTCCAAGGTGCTGGCTTGGTCGGACCAAATTGAGAACACATCCAATAGTTGTAAGCCATCAAATGTGGATCATGCACCGGTATCCATCTAACAAGCAATTCTCATTCATACCATCATCATCGCTTTTCTGTCTGAATCATTATGAGAGAAGTGTTGTACGATAACGACAAACAACACTCCTTGAAGCTCATTAACACTAACCTCATGAGAGCTCTCAACAACGAATAATTTGGTGGGTACCATCATTTAACCCGCAAGGTAATTACAACAAGCGAGCCGTACCACAAAACCTGCAACAATTGTTTGAAATTCAAAATCTTCCTCTCGAAAAAAGAGAGCACAAGCAGGAGCAACCTTCTTTCGAGTTGACCATCATCGTTACCAACGTTTGTTGTACATAGCCAACCAATCTCTCTTTCCAGACATTAGAAGTGAATTCAATTTTCAAAGGTAGGTAATCTATTTGGCTGGCCATTGAGCTGGTATAAACCAAGCTGTGATACCACATGACGATTCATTCGTGCATCTTCTAATAACCACTGTCCTTCTTGTAATACCATCAACAATTGTTGAATTACCTTATATAACACTCCGATGATGGCTATTGATGCATCATTTAGCTTGTAGAAAAAAACAAATAGGACCTCTCACACTCGAACAACACAGAAGAAATGTATCCTTCATCCTCGCCATCCAACAAATCTTTCATGAGTTATTACAGTCCAAAGATGGGCTCAACTCCTCCTTCTCATCTTTCCGCTCATCACCAATACCATCACCATTCTCATCATTCTCACCATAGTCCTTCTTCTACCAACACAGCTTTGAGCAGCTTGTTGAATTCAGCACAAGCATTGTTGTCTCCTAACAGTAGTAATACTCAATTCATGAGTCAACAACCTCATCATCAACCCTCTCAAGCTGTGAGTAGTGGTGTTTTAAATCCGAGCACTACTAAATTCGGACCTCACATTTTTGATAGCTACTTGGAATTGCAAGATGGTACAAGATACTATGGTAAGGCTTTTGGAGCTACCAAGTGCATGAATGAAAAGGATACCAATTGGGATACATCATTCTCTGTAAGTGGTGAATGTGTATTTACCACTGCAATGGTTGGGTATCCAGAGTCTTTGACAGATCCATCGTATCAAGGACAAATATTGGTGTTAACTTTTCCACTTGTGGGTAATTATGGAGCTCCTCCATTCAAGAAAAATCAATTACCTTCTGCAGCTACTATGAACAATACTATGGCCAATGAATATGTTGATGATTTTGGTTTGTTACCTCGTTTAGAGAGTGACAGAATTCATATTCGAGGATTAATTGTTCAAGATTATTCTCACAATTATTCTCATTATGAAGCTATTTGTTCACTTCATCGTTGGCTACAAGAATATAATATTCCAGGTATTTATCACGTTGATACCAGAGCAATCACAAAGAAATTAAGAAATGAACGCTCCATGCTTGGCAGAATTGTCACAGACATTAATGCTGCAGATGAGATGATAAAGTTATGTAAGGAACTTAACTGGTATGATCCAGGGCAGATCCAGACATTATTACACAAGTAACATGTAAGGAAGTCAAAGTATACGGGCATGGAAATACCTTTAAGGTTATTGCAATTGACTGCGGAATGAAATATAACATTATTAGAGAGCTTGTGAAGAGAGACATTGAATTGAAGGTAGTTCCATTCAATTACAATTGGGTTGAAGAAGTTGACCATTTGGATGGTCTATTTATTAGCAATGGACCAGGTAATCCAAACAATTTTGTTTCTACAATTGAGTATTTAAAGGATTATATTAGAAAAGCATCATCAAAGGAATTACCAATGATCCCTATATTTGGAATTTGTTTGGGTAACCAACTTGTTGGTAGAGCTGTTGGAGCATCTGTTTACAAATTACCATTTGGTAATCGTGGTCACAATCAACCTGTAATTGACCAATTGACAAGAAAATGTTTTATAACCTCCCAAAATCATGGTTATGCTGTTGATAACTCCAGTCTACCCTACAACTTCAAACCATACTTTATTAACGCAAACGACAACAGTAACGAAGGAATTTATTGCACAAACATGCCAATTTTCACTTCACAATTCCATCCTGAAGCCAAAGGAGGTCCAGAGGACACCTTCTTCCTTTTCGACCAATTTGTTGACTTGATGAAATTGAAATGTAATGGCAAATTGTTAGAAATTACCAACTTCGAGTCACACTACAGCAAGGTGTTTGTAAGACATCATAAGAATATGAGAACCAAATTTAATGAACTTTTGCAATCTATTGAGGATACATCAGACATTAGCACACCAATTTTCCAACAACAAGAAATATTGATGAAGAAGAGTATCTTCTCGGCTGAGTATAAGAGAGATCCGTCACAAAAACGAGAAAAATCAATTTCCAAGAAACCTCCTCTCCCAAAGAAAGTTATTGTGCTTGGAAGTGGTGGTCTTCAAATTGGACAAGCAGGTGAATTTGATTACAGTGGTTCACAATGTATTAAGGCCCTCAAAGAAGAGGGAATCTTTACAATTTTAATTAACCCAAATATTGCTACAGTCCAGACATCGAAGGAACTTGCTGATAGAGTATACTTCGGCCCAGTTACTCCAGATTTTGTTGAAAAGGTTATTGAAAAGGAAGCAGCAGATGGGTTGTTACTCTCATTCGGAGGTCAGACAGCACTAAATTGTGGTGTTCAATTGCACAAGAGTGGTGTGTTGGAAACATTAGGATGTAGAGTATTAGGTACGCCAGTTCAATCTATTATTGATACCGAAGATAGAGATATTTTCAATCAAAAGATGAGAGAAATTGGCCAACCAGTTGCCGATTCATGTGCATGTGACAATGTCGATGAAGCCATTGTTAGTGCACACAAAATTGGATTTCCAGTGATCGTGAGAGCTGCTTTCGCTTTGGGTGGTCTTGGTTCTGGTTTTGCAAATGATGAAAGAGAGTTAAGAGAATTAGCTACTCAAGCATTAAGCTCATCTCCTCAAATTCTTGTCGAAAAGAGTGTTAAAGGATGGAAAGAGATTGAATATGAAGTTGTAAGAGACTCTAATGACAATTGCATTACAGTTTGTAACATGGAAAACTTTGATCCTGTTGGCATCCATACTGGTGAGTCAATTGTCGTTGCTCCTTCTCAAACTCTTAATAATGACGAATATCATATGCTCAGAACTGCAGCTATTAAGGTGATTAGACACTTGGGAATTGTTGGAGAATGCAATATTCAATATGCTCTCAATCCTTACAGTAGAGAATATGTAATCATTGAAGTCAATGCTCGTCTTAGTAGAAGCTCTGCCTTAGCAAGCAAAGCCACAGGATATCCTCTTGCTTTTGTTGCTGCAAAGCTCTCATTGGGAATGGAATTAATTGATATTAAGAATTCAGTGACAAAGGAAACTACTGCATGCTTTGAGCCAGCTCTTGACTATTGTGTTGTTAAAATGCCAAGATGGGATTTGAAAAAGTTTGTTCGTGTCTCTACTAACATTGGAAGTGCAATGAAGAGCGTTGGTGAAGTCATGGCTATTGGTCGTAATTTTGAAGAAGCCATTCAAAAAGCTATTCGTATGGTCAACACGAGTTATAGAGGATTTGAAACCACTGGATCACTATTTGATTATGAAAAGCTATTGAAGACCATTCCAAATAACATTATTCAACCAAATAGCAATCCATTTGCAATTCCAACAGTGATCAATGCTAAGGAAGAGGTTAAACAAAGAGTAATTAGAGAATTGTTACATCCAACAGATCAAAGAATTTTCGCAATTGCTCTGGCCATGGACTTGTTTGACATGACCGTAGACCAAATTCATCAATTCACACAAATTGATCGTTGGTTCTTGTACAAGCTCAATAACATTGTACAAACCAGAAAGGCACTCAAAGGAGTCGGCAAGTATATGCAATCAACTGTTGACATTCCATACCCTCTCTTAATTCTCTCAAAGCAGCAAGGTTTCTCAGATTTGCAAATAGCATCTTACCTTCCAAACTCTGTGTTCCAAAACTTTGTTCCAGATTCGTCTTTCCCTTACAAATTATCCTCAAAAGATCATTTAACAAATATTGATAAGGAATTGATCGTTAGATATGTCAGAAAGTATATTCACAAGATTCAACCAATTGTTAAACAAATTGACACCTTAGCAGCAGAGTATCCTGCCCAAACAAATTATCTTTATACAACCTATAACGCTGGAATCAACAGCATTGCATTACCTGATGAGAAATCCCAAAATAAGTCCAAATTTGTATATCCTGATCATCATCTCCACCATGATGTGACATTTAATGATAAGGGTGTTATGGTTTTGGGAAGTGGAGTTTATAGAATTGGTAGCAGTGTAGAATTTGATTATTGTGGTGTGATGTGTATTCGTGAGTTAAGAAGATTAGGATTTAAGACTGTCATGATCAATTACAATCCAGAAACTGTTTCTACTGATTATGACGAACCAGATCGCCTCTATTTTGAAGAACTGAGTCTTGAAAGAGTGATGGATATTTATGAACAAGAATCATGTTCTAGTGCTATAATTAGCGTTGGAGGTCAACAACCCAATAACATTGCTCTTCCTCTCGATAAGCAATGTAATGTGAATATTCTTGGAACAAGTGCAGATTCCATTGACTCATGTGAAGACAGAAACAAGTTCAGCAAACTTTTAGATTCTCTTGTCGACAATCGAGGAGAGAAACTTATTTATCAACCTGAGTGGGCTGCTCTAACTACTGTTGAAGATGCTCTTTATTTTGCCAACAAGGTTCAATACCCAGTTTTGATTAGACCAAGTTATGTATTGAGTGGTGCAGCTATGAATGTGGCGTACTCAGACACTGAATTATTACAACAATTGTATGAAGCTGCTGACGTTTCAAGCGAACATCCTGTTGTTATTTCCAAGTTCTATGAAAACGCCAAAGAAATTGAAATTGATGGTGTTGCTCAAAATGGATTTATTATCATTGATGCTATCAGTGAGCATGTAGAAAGAGCAGGAACTCATAGTGGAGATGCTACTTTAATTTGTCCACCTTACAGCTTGAGTTTTGATATTCAAGATCTTATTAGAGAAAAGGCAGCTCTTATTGCCAAAGCACTTAACATTAGTGGTCCATTCAATATGCAATTCCTCTTTGATAATGAACTTCCACATGACAGTGCGAACAATACTCAACCATCTTCATGGAGTGACGAAGAGGAAGACCCACAAGAGGAAGCTCTCAAGTTATATAGAAGTTTATCAAAGAGATTGAGAGTTATTGAATGCAATTTAAGAGCCTCAAGATCATTCCCATTCATATCAAAGACTCTTGATTTGGACTTTATCGCCCTAGCAGCCAAAGTTTTCACAAATACCTTCCTTTTACCATCAAATATTGAGCAAATGACATCCAAACAGAAAGTACCAACTCAAAATTATTATGAGCAAATGAATTTATTGAATGAAATTGCTCAACTACGTTCCAATAATCAACAGCAACAATCCTCTCCAAATCACAATGAGTTGATTGATAAATACTCAATGACCTATGAATCCATTCAAAGAAAACGATTCTGTAAATCGTTCTACGGATGTAAGACTCCAATGTTTTCATTCAAGAGATTGGCTGATTGTGATCCAAAATTGGGTGTAGAAATGGCCAGTACTGGTGAAGTGGCATGCTTTGGACAAACTGTCAGAGATGCCTTCTTAAAGGGCATGAGTAGTGCATTCCCTAATTTACCAACTTCGTTAGATCATCGTAGTAAGAGCGTGTTAATTGCCTCATTCCCTCACTCAACCAAGGCCAATATGGAGTTAATTAACCATTTACTTCAATCTATTTACATTCTATATCAACATTTACGATACACTATTTATGTTTCACCCTACGTTGCTGAGAAATTGTCTCAAAACTTACCCCAGCTCAAATATCACGTGCTACAGTTGCAGCAATATGTGCCGCTTGATGAAAGAGGAATTTGTCTTGCCAGCCAATTGAAGTTAGACGAGGAGGCTGAGATTTTGAAGAAGATTGGCTCTGACATTAGCATGATTGTTGACGTTCCATTCCCAGACAACAACCAAAAGTTAAAGGAACAACATTATCTCATCAGACGAAAAGCAATCAATTACGATAGACATTTATTCAACAACTACGAAGTGTTTAACCTGTATGTGAAATGTTTAAAGGATTTGAAAGACAAGAAGCAAAATTTGGATACATTGAATGTTAATCCATACTCACATTACCTTGAACTTCAAGCTACAGACTTGAGACTTTGTTAAAGCGAAAATGAACATGTCAACAAGCGTAATTAAACATGCTAAACAAGGTAAATCTACTACTAATTTCAAATTAAGACAAGCATCTATTTTAATCATGTGAAATTTGCCATGTGACTCGCCAATAACGACATGACAAATTCATTATTGGACGGTTGGAACGTGCTGATTGGTGGGATAGAAAAATCAAAACTTTAATAATAATAGCTCTTCTTGACTGCTGGCTTCAATATTTGGAATGAACACATCAAAGTTTCATCTACGGACATCATTGCGCCTGCATTATCAAATTCGTTACAGTAGTTTGGTGCACTGAAAATCGTCACCAATTGTCTCTTGGCGAAGAATTTATATCCATCTTCTACTACTTGGTGAGCACGACAAACAAGATCCAAATCGTGTTTTTTCAGGAATTTTTCTACAACATCACTTCCAAAAGTAAATGATACTCCTCTATCATTTTCTCCCCATCCTTGGATTCCTTCTTCAGGATCACTCCACAATAAATCGCAAAGTAAACCGCTATCTGGTACATCGCTAAAATCGGTCACACAAACTACTGCACAATCGTGTGTGTACTTACGTTGGACGCATTACTTTTCTGATTTGTTCCATGTTATGAAGTTCTGGTGACAATCCACCATGCATGCAGAATATTTTCTCGTCTATGATTGCTGCAACTGGCATACAGTTGAAACAATCAGTAAAGCTCTTCCATAATCTTATGGAGTATCTCCTTTTACATTCATCGTAAAATCCGTAAATTCTGTTAATAGAAGCACACTCTAATAACAACAACATTAAACATTACAAACAGGTTTGATCAATGTACATACCGTGATTACCTCTCAAGAGGAAGAAATTTTCTGGATATTTGATTTTGTAGGCGAGTAAAAGGCAGATAGTTTCTAATGATTGCTTTCCTCTGTCCACATAGTCACCTAAAAAGAGATAATTAGCTTCTGGTGGGAATCCTCCATATTCAAACAATCTCAATAGATCATAATATTGCCCGTGTACATCTCCGCAAATTTTAATAGGTGCTTCGAGCTCCAGCAATGGAGGTTGAGATATGAATATTTCCCTAGATTTTAATATTAATTGTTTGATTTCGTTTTCAGTTAGGTTCACTAGTACGCACAGTGGATGATGAGTTCATCAAATGATTACCGAAAATACAAACCTTGTTTTCCAGGTCGAGAACCTCTAACCTCTAATAATTTGAAAATGATGCCATCAATATCGATGTCTGTTGGTGTTGTAGGAGTAGACATGATGATGTATATATGTATTTACGAAAGTTGTTGTACGTTAAATTAAAAGTGGAAGATATCAGCAAAGAAAAAAAAAGTCGTCTGATGGTTGTTGTTGTTGTATATATTTACTCAAGATTCCAACAACGTTCAATGTAGTGGGAATATATATTGTAGTTGATGATGATGATAAAATGATGCAACAGCTGCGGTGATGATGGTATTCTTTGCAGCGCTGGGAAGAGAGATGGCTGATGTGGAGCAGCGCCGATTCGATTTTTTTTTGGATGGCGTTGTCGCGCCATTTTAACGGTTGACCATTACAATTATGGTCATGTCAAACGAATATTCTTATGTTGTGTCTCATGATGTTGAGCTTGGAATACACTCGGAACGATCTTTCTCTGTCATGGTATTTCATGCAAATAATAAAAAAAAATGAAGGACACAAAGAAGGCTGTTTGTTTGTGCGTCGTATTGGGGTTGGCTTGTTTGGCGTTGTATGCATTCATCATCATGGCTGCAATGATTGCGGTAAAGACACCAGTGAAAGACGGAAAACTGACTTTCGCAGGATATTTGAACAACAACTAAAGAAACCATGCATGTTTAAGGCATCGTATCCGTAATCATTCGGAACCACATCAATCAGTACTTAACTGAAAACTCGTAACAATTCTCAACTCTCCTTCAGCTGAAGATCTTGTTACGCCTCTTGATGAGATCTCTAATTGAATATCGATGACTTTATAACCCAACATGGAAAATTACGTTTTTGACTTCTTTAAATGTCATGTTGCTTGATTGAGTTTAGCTGGTTTTGTATTATTTCCACCATTCAAAAATCTTTCATTAATTGAACATTTTTCAACCAAACAAAACACCACAACGTAACAAAGAAAATGGTTGAATCAAGATTTGCTAATAGACAAGAAGAAGATATCACAGTCAATAAGGAAGGTCCAAGTCAGGCGCAACAAGAAACAGACCGTAAAAAGAGAGTCTTGAAAGATAGTATTCGTCAATTATATTTTCCTGGAAAACGGATATTTAACACAAGTCTCTTCATTGTTGGATTGGCCTTTATCGCCAATGCTATTTTACTCTATGTGGATACGTTAACAACAATTCTTCATGCCGATATCTTCTTTGGTTTTTCAAAACAAGGAAGAAACGATCACTTGCAAAGATCTTCAGCTGTTCTTGGATTTGTAGTTGGTATGTAGTATTGAGAACATGTGATGATGAAAAATTGATTTCCATCGACGTCGTTTGTTGAATGATTTTTAAATATTTTCATGACAATTCCATTCGTTATTTCTAACACACAAAGGTTTCTTAAATCTGTATTGTGCCAGTATTGAGAAGAACAAGGCCCTTACCACGTACACTCTCTTTGCTGATGGCTTCTCAATTCTACACTATCTTGCTGAAACTTTCTATTACAAGAGTATTCGTTATGAATACACTGCGTTGGTCACTGTGTTCTTGCTTTTCAACTTTATCTGGGCTGTTCGTAATTATTATTATGAATTAAGATTGATTCAAGAAAAGAAGATTAATCGACAACGTGGGGAAGATATTCAAAAAGAAGACATTTATGTACATGAAGATTAATTTTGTACTCTGTCGTCATGATTACTGCTGCCATATGCAATTGTGCTTGATAGTTCATTCAACAGATTGTAAATAAAATTATTCACAGCATTCTTACGTGTTAATGGCAGAAAGTGTCCTGATGATTTCATTACATGCAAACGATAGTTGGTTTGTTTTGGAAGAATAGATTCTTTGACAAACTTCTCACAGAGAGAAGATTGAATCAAGTAGTCGTGATCTCCATGTATCTGAAGAATGAGTTATATTGGATGAAATCAACATGACATCATTCATATTGAACAACTCCATGCCAACGATCATCATACTTACATGCGAGATGGGAATATTATGTTCCGAGAAAATTGACCATTTCACATAATCTTCTTGTCCCTCTTCTGCACTAAAATTAAATTCAGCTTTCAACATTTGAATGACAAATTCAGGATCCTTTTCAACCATCATACTCTTCAACAAGGACTTGTACTCCTCCATCACATTTCGATCTTGTGACCATAAACTTGTCAACACACTTCGTTCCATCCATGCACTGATTGCACTATTCGACCATAAATACATTTTCACAATTGATTCAAAGATACGAGTGGGTAAATAATTCATGACAATTCTTTTCAATTTCATGTAATAGGGATCGACACAATGAGTAAAGGAAGGACAACTTCCAATAAGTAAAATTCCTTTTAACTTGTTTGCAAAATTTGGAGGTGCAATGGTTAATAATTCCTGAGCTAGAAGAATTGAAATCATTCCACCCACACAAAATCCGCCCACAAGAAATCCTTCAACAGCGTTGTTTTCTTTCGTTTCAATACTACTATATTTAGTAATAATTTGATGAGCCAATTGTTTGGCATAACTCTGCAAAGTCAATTTGGAATTTTCTTCTATTTTTTCTAAATCTATGGTTTCAATTAAATCTCCAAAAACTTTCTTTTGATTATTGAAAATTCGATGATCTGTAAATAATGATGGAATTAAAAAGAGAATCCATTTTCGGTCCGAAGTCTTTGAAAAGTTTGAAAGATTTTTCATTTCACACAGAGGGTCATCCATTCCAAATTTCATGCATTCATCATCATCGGAATGATTATTGGTTTCGATTTTCTTTTGAGATAATTTCCAAATCAATATTGCCAATGTCAACCCAGTGACAATAGTGATCATGATATTGAAATTTTTAGAAAATAATTTTGAAACCAGTGTCGTCTCATCAATATCGAATAATTGAGCCATTTTTTGATCATTTTGATTATGTTGTGAATGAATGATTACACACCACTATCATCTTGGCTCGTCGTCAAGAACACGAGAAAGAACTCTCATTACCACAAAAAAGTATAATTACAATGCCAAGTAGTGAAATGGTTTTAATTCTTCTTCTGTTGTTCATTGATTGTTGTAACAAGAGATGTGATCAAATCCTTGTTCAATGAAACACCACTACCACTAGCGCCGCTACCACTACTACCACCACTAGCACTCTCTGAATGTAAAGAATCAACTTTGAAAGGTTCCAAACTTCCACTCACAGAGAATGAAGAAGAATTTGAAAAACCTCCAATACAGGTATTAGTCACTCCCTTAATACAAACATATTTTGCCACTTGCCATCCAATAATCACTGCAACCATTACCAAAACAATGATAATGAAAATACAAATTACTGCCTTATCACAATTAGTACCTCTAATGAAAGCATTCAATTCTTTTTTAGCTCTCTTCAATCCATCTCCCAATTCATCCAAATCTTTTTGAATGAGAACCATTCTCTCAGTTTGTTGTTTTAACTTTTCAGCAGCTGCTGCACCAATTTGTATTGTCTCATCTCCAATTCTAATCATGTTATCTAACATTTCATTATTTTTATCATAAATGGTTAAAATTTCATCCACTCGAGAGTGACCTTTTTGTAATTGTTTGGGTTGTCCATTGGCTCCGTCATCATCCATAATGATGGCACCATCTTGTTCATCATAATTCTTTTTTGAGGATCCTTTCTTTGAACCACCGCCAGAACTTGATCCACCAGGTGTTGTGACCATTCCATCATCTGTCTTGGCACTACTTGATTTTCTACTTCCAGTTGGAGTATTGGCTGACAAATTACCACCATGGTCACTTCCAGTTGGAGTTGTGACACTTCCTGGAGTTTCTCTATTCTCTTTAATTTGAGTCAAATCATTGTAACTCTTTGCAATTGCTTGTTCGAGTTTCTTCATTTCAGTTTGATAGGTTTTTTTCTTATTTCCATTATAGGAAGAGAGATCGTCTTTGAGTACATTGATATTCTCTTTTGCTTGTTTGTAGAATTGTTCTGCTTTTTTAATGAGTGTGGTTCGTTGTTCTTTTGAAGTTGCTTTATGGAGATTGTAGACTGCATCTCGCAGAGATTTTTCCTTATTTTTAATTTCCTATTGTTGCATTGGATGATTTGATGTTGTTGTTGTTGAGAGAGGGTTTCAAGAATTCATATATTCAAGAGAGTGTGTGTCATTGTATATGATATGAATCGATGGGTCATATTGACGTTTGTATATATATTCATGAATATGTATATTATGGAAATGATGGATACAAGGATGGTTACAAGTGGGGTTCGTTCAGTCATTCGTCAAATATATTCATTGTTGTTTTGTGTTTTGTGAAAAATAGTGATCCCATCATGATGAACCATGTTGAGTGGTTGGGTTCATAATTTGGGATAGATGATGATGGTTGTTTTGATAATGTCATGGTTGGAACATGATGATGAGCGGTGATGGAATGTGATGTTGTTGTCGTTATGTATGTATTGTTGTTATTGTTATTGTTGTATAATGAAAATGAAACATCATCGGATGGTTTTCATAAGGAATGGAAACATTCATGAATACGATCCAATTTACATCAACGAGAGCCATCGTATATTCCATACGATCCCGTACGGACGTTGAAAAAGAACATGATTGGAAAGTTTTGAACGATGGTTTTGAAAATTTGCATGTTGTTTAGATTGATCAGACCAATGAATGATACAATTAATTGATACATATATTGAATATACATACGTCCAAAAGCACTTCGAAGCCTTCTTCGGCATCACCATCCATACTCAAGCTATCGTCACTGGGCATTTTTTTGTTGGTTTGGATGACAACTGACGGGCCAACGTCTCTTTTTTTAATTCCTTTTGAAATCCAAATTCAATTTTACCTTCTTCTCTTTTTCAAAACGTGCACATTCATCCAGCCGCTATCAATGCAACAGTTTGGGAATCATATGAAGAGAAGAAAATTTTTCAATTTCTGTGAATGATATTCAAATTATTCATTCAGAAATTGAACATCAAAAAAAAATGTCATCCTCCACAGCTGCGTCGAACATTGATGACTATCCCTTCGGGCGATATAAAATCAATGATGAAACCATTCTAAATGCTCTTATTGAAAACACAATGGCCACTAATTCGACGACAAATCATCATCCAATTTGTGTATTAGAAAAAAATTATAATCAAATTCCAGGACTCATCGGAGTGCATTTACCAAACCATTCCAACGAAAGAGATCATGAAGAAAATTCTAAAGTAATGACTTTTTGGAATTGTTGGTACAATATTGATGAAAATTCTCGAGAAATGAATGAAGAATGCATCCAATCCAAGGATCAACACATTTTACATCCCTTTTCTTCTTCAAATCAAGTGAATGACATGACAGACAACAATCAAACCTCCAATTCTGAAATATTTTCAAATTTATTATTTATTTGTATCATGCATGGTGGACACTTTTCTGGAGGAATTTTTGATTTTGAAAGTGGAAAATGTCTCGTTCATAAAACCTTCTCAAATTATGTCTCACGAAAGAAACAAGGAGGAAGACAACTTTCACACGATATTCAAACTGGACATCGGGCCAAATCTGCAGGAAGTGAAATTCGAAGAAATCAAGAAAAACAATTTCAAGAAAAATTACACACTCTATTGACACAACAATGGGCAAGCTATTTTGTAGAGGAAGTTCCAACCCTCTCGAAAAGTGTAATAACTAACAATCATGACAGTTCTTTGAAATTAGCAAGTACCCATCATTCAAAAAGTGTTCAAAAAGTATTTGCTTCAATGGTGTATTGTCCAGGTACCATTAATCGTGACATGATTGAACACTTGTTATGGAATGAACTCGGTGTGAAACACATTCCCATTCGAAATATTCCATTTCAAGTTCCAAAACCTAATTTTATGAATTTGTGTGCTACCTTTGAAAAACTTTGTTCCATTCATATTTGCTCCAAGAAACAAGTTCCTCAGATTGATGATCTGATGGAATTCACTCAAAATCATTCATTAAGAGCATTTTCAGAGAATTCATCTTCCACTGATGAAGATGATCTTTCAAGTGATGATGACAACGACTCATCCATGTCTGAAGAACAAGACAATACACGACCACCAATATGTGAAAAATCCAAACAACAACGATTGACAGAAGAATATTTAAGAAATTATCCAAGTCCACTCTCTCCTCAATCTCCTCAACAGTTGGTATTTGCCAATGACGATCATGGTGATGACACTGTTCAATCTCCAAAATCACCTCTTTCTCCACTTTTTCAATTTTTTGGATTTGAAACTCATTCGAGTCGGGTTGTGAATTCGACGCATCGATCTACTAACAACAAGTATCAACATTCATTGAATGATGGACAACCATTACTGTATTCGAATATGAAAAAATCATCAAACAAAAATCATTCTTCAAAGACTAGTAGTAATAGTAACAACAGTCGAACGATTCATTCAAAGAAGGGAAGAAAACAACTTGTTGAAATAAGTGAAACAGAGATGAGACAACAATCATTATTCATTTGGGGTGGAATTTTTGTACTAGCAGCTGCAACCATGGCAATTTATATTTGGAAATTTGCACCAGAATCTTCCTCTATGGATGATTATTATTGAGATCAATGTATTTCATGGATGAATATTGAGATAGGCATGTCCATGAGGATTTTTTTAGAGAAAAATTCTTAAGTACATTTCACAACATTCCTCTTCTTCCCATTCTTCTTGTGATTTTACTGCCTTCGGTTTGAAGTGTCATTGTTTATTGTGTTCATGGTTGAACAAGTTTTAAAACGTTTAAACTTGAATACCAAGTTTATTATGTTTGATCATGTAAATGTTTAAAATTACAATAATAATATATATTATAGTAATATTATTTCTAATTGATCAGAAAAGATGAAGGCATAGTATGACGTTTCTCATGTTACAAAAAGTGGTTCGTTCAACATTCTGAATTTTAATGAGTACTCCATTCCATTTGAGCTCAATATGAATCCCACTCAGTGGCGGTCTGATCAAATCGCTCTCTCTTCAATATCTTGAGGACAAGATAAGAATTAGACCTCTAGCCATGCTCGAGCGATCTGAAATGAGATTTAATTCTTTAGAAATTTGTTTAATGTTTTTTAGAAATAAATTTTGGTTTGATCGAGTTTAAACGTTTATACAAGTTTAAACATGATTATTTTGATTATAATTGTTTAAACATGTTTATTGTTTAAATTTTAATTCAAACGATTGGCGGACAAACCTTAATAGACGATTGTTTATTGGAAACTCTGGCTGGCCTTATTCGGGAATAAATGTTTTTGAATTTTTTAGAGCGTTCCTGAACACCGTCGAAGAAAATTCTATCCAGAATTGTGATGTGATTTATTATGATGTGATATGATTCAATGCGATGTGATGTGATGTGATTCCCCGGATTTCTAAGAAAGATCTTAATGTTTACAACAAAACAGAGCGAAACAAACAAAAAAATTGTGTATTTCATCTTCCATCAATGACAAATACTTGTGCCGCTAAAAAGAGAAAACTCTCACCATCGGTTGAAACTGGTGTTGTTGAAGCAGCAAATTCATCATCAATAATGATCAACGATAGTGCTGCAAAAGATGACTTCTGTCCGACAAGTTCTAGCAATGGACCGTTTATTGATGATATTATTTTAGAAATTCTTCAATTCCTCGAATCGTTGTTTATTGTTCAAATTTGTATGAAAATTTCAAAACAATGGAGACAAGTATCCTTTCAAATTCCGCTCTCAATTTCATTCCAACCAAAGCACTTCAAATGTGATTCTAAACCAATCAAACTTTTTTTAGCTAATTGTGAGTGTTTGAAGAATTTGACTTGTTTGAATTTGGGACATAATGAAATTAGCAGTGAAGATGTCAAACATATTTCTACAAGCGAATGTTTAAAGAATTTAACTTCTTTGGATCTTAGTGACAATCACATAGACAGTGAAGGTGTGAAATATATTGCTACGAGTGAATGGTTGAAGAATTTGACTTACTTGAATCTGGTTGGCAATGAAATTGATAATGAAGGTGTTAAATATATTGCTATGAGCGATTGTTTAAAGAATTTGACGTCTTTGGATCTGTATGGCAATGAAATTGATAATGAAGGTGTTAAATATATTTCTACAAGCGAATGTTTAAAGAATTTAACCTCCTTGGATCTAAATGACAATCACATTGGTAGTAAAGGCGTCAAACATATGGCTACGAGTGAATGGATGAAGAACTTGACTTCTTTGGATCTGGGTTACAATCACATTGGTAGTGAAGGTGCGAAATATATTGCTGAAAGTGAATGTTTGAAGAATTTGACGTCCTTGAATCTAGTTGGCAATGAAATTGGTAGTAAAGGCGTCAAACATATTGCTACGAGTGAATGGATGAAGAATTTGACTTCTTTGGATCTGGTTGGTAATGAAATTGATAATGAAGGTGCTAAATATATTGCTATGAGTGAACGTTTACAGAATTTAACTTCTTTGGATCTAAGTGACAATGAAATTGGTAGTGAAGGTGCGAAATATATTGCTGAAAGTGAATGGTTGAAGAATTTAACTTCTTTGAATCTGAGATACAACCACATCGACATTGAAGGTGCCAAATATATTGCTACGAGTGAATGGTTGAAGAAGGTGACTTCTTTGGATCTGACTTGCAATCAAATTGATAATGATGGCAATTGATTTTTTAGCTAATGACTGCATACGGATACTGCACTACAATCAAGTATCATGTTCATGTTTTGATAACGTTTTTAACTGAAATTACAAAGTTTCTTTGACCTATAAAGCTTCTTTCTTTCGGTGGTTGAAACTTGCATCTCGGTAGTAATGAACAAACAGTTAATACAAGCTACGACGCCGAAAAAGATTTTGACCTCTCTGCAATCCTTGATCCACAACCAAAAATGAAACGACCATCCAACAACGCCACCAACCACCAACCTCACTCAACCAAAATTTTGAAATTAACTGAAAATTGTGAAGCCTCTTCTCTACTTCCGACAATGGAGGAGGAACGTACGAATGTAACAATCATATTAATCGAATTCTTTGATATATCAATTCATCATCATGATGATGATTGTTGCCAAAATTTCAAACGATTAAAAAACAAATTTGAAAATCAAACAAAAGGCTTTGCAAAGTGGTTACTTGCCCGAGAGCGTTGGAAAATGGATTTTTCAAACAAAAACAAGATTCCAGAACATCATCTCATTCCTCTTGAATTTATGGATGATCGGGAATGCATTGAAATTTTTTATATTTATTGTCCACCAATTAAAACGGATCCATATAGAAATATTGCAAATTGGATGGCAACCATTCGGAATACCTCGTTGTTGTCCTTTGAAGATGAATGTCGATTTTGGAAAGGTAATAAGGCTGGACTATTGCGAGCCGTTAGTTGTAAATATTTGCAAATTTTGAATTATGTGTCGAGAAACGATCTATTGGAATTTAAGGATGATTTAGCCAAAGTATTACATGGATGGAAATGTTGCCCAATCCAATTATCCAACGATGACAATCACATTGTTGAGGTTGCTGTCTCTCGTTCAGGAGCTGATCTTCAATTTGCTTCTGAAAGATTGAAGAATGACATGACGATTGTAATGACAGCTGTCACCCAAGATGGAATGTCTCTCCAACATGCTTCAAGAGAAATGAGGAATACTAAGTGGGTGGTATTGAAAGCAGTTCAACAGAATGGTCTTGCATACCAATATGCTTCTGACTCTTTGAAAAATGATTTGGATATCATATCTGCAGCATTGCGAAATTCATTGGAAGTTTTTCAATTCATTCCAACCACACCTTCAAGCACATATTCATATGCAAATATTATGAAATTGATTCTCACAGAAAATCAAAACATAACAAAGCAACCTTTATTGAAAAACATTTCTGAAGCAACAAGTAGAAATAATAGAAGAGTGGTCATGGGTCATGTCATTACTAACGGAATGAATTTAGAATTTGCCTCTGACCAACTAAAGAAAGATAAAGCAGTCGTGTTAACTGCAATACGTGAGAACCCTCTTGCATTTCAATTCGCAGCTGAAGAGTTAAAATTAGATAAGGAATTGAAGAAGCAATGTATTGATATCATTTTTTCTTTTTCTGGATCCATTCGAAAGAGAGATGTGATTTTAAAGCTGTTTGGAAACGATGGTGAGGCCCTGTTGTACATTTTCAACCGGTTTGAAAGTAGAGAAATCATGAAGTCAGATCTCGTTTCAGCTGCTCGTTGTGTGAACAATCGGTATGGAACGTGCAGTATTTTAAAATTACTACCTGAAGAATTGCGTAATAATCGACAAATTGTTGAATGTTGTATTCGAATTGAGTATTGCTTTGAATATGCCTCACCAGAACTGAAACATGATGCAGAGTTCATCTTGAGAAATAGAGATTTTATCGATTTATGGGATGTTCCAGATGTGTTGAGAAATGATCGAAATTTCATTTTAGAATTCATGAGCTCGAAACGATTTTCCTTATCAGAATTGTCCACTGATTTGCAGAATGATTTTGAAATTGTGCTAATTGCTGTGAAGCGTAATGGACTCTTTTTGACCTATGCCTCAGAGCATCTGAGAAATAATAGAGAGATTGTACTACAAGCAATTATTCAAAATTCCAAGTCTCTAAAATATGCCTCACCTGAATTACAGAATGATCACACCTTATTTGAAGATTGTGCCAAGTATGGTGGTGTTCTTTATGAAAATTCAATACACAGGAGAACTTTTATGAAATGGAAACAATCAAGACTCGATTATGAATATCATGGATGTGAAATTCCTTCTCGTTTCATTATGAATGAACCTATTCAGTTATTCGAAAGACCTGGACTTCACAACCGAGAAAAATATAATGCCAGCACTTGGCATGAATACTTATTTGGAACTAATTCCAATCCATGGAAAACAATTTTTATGGTGGAATAAAACCAAGTCTGGCACAGTTGTCTTTGAGCTGTTTCGTTCATTGCAATGACTCTGTTGTGAATGGCTCTTTTTCAACTATTATTTGCCTTGTAAAAAATGGGCAAAAGTAACGAGATCCAATTGCTAAAGTGACGTATGAGAAAGTCGTCATCTTTACAACAAGCGCCCAAACGAACGCGTATCTGACTTCTTCTGCGAATTTGCACTGCATTTTCCGGAGATTTCTTTTATTCGGTAATTTCAACAATTAGAGAGCAGCTGAAATGAATTTCAACACTTGCTTTCCCGTGGCACAATAATTGACGAAAACAAAAAAAACATCCAAACATCTCATCCCTATCCGGTGTGATATATTTCGTGTGTGTTTTGCATTATTCAGTCTCTGCTCTGAAAGATATTTCATCAAAGTTTCTCACCTCCTATTTTGAATCCATAGCATTCAAGATAACCTTTTATGCAACAAGATACAGTTATCGTTTCCTCCACTCATCAACAACTCAAGCCTCTCGTCGTTTGCTCCCTCAGTCAAAAGACCTTTAGAAAGCCCATTCAAGTCGCCAAAGAAGAACACCTCGCCAATTGACAATTAGCCCCAACACTATGTGCGGAATTACCTTTGTATTGAGATATTTGACTTCTGCTGCCTCTCAGCAGGAATGTCGCGAATTAGCACTCGAACAAGTTCGTGCCTATTCCAAATTATTGGCTCATCGTGGTCCTATTGAATCCGATATTCGTGTATGGCCACTTGAATCATCCGATGTTGAAAAACATTCATTTGCTTGTATGGCCCATGAACGTTTGTCCATTATTGACCTCACCACTGGAAAACAACCTATTCTCAGTCAAGATGAACAATGTGCTGTGATTCACAATGGAGAAATTTACAATCATGATGCCATTGATGAAGAATTGAAGAAGGAAGGCTTTGTGTATCGTACTCATTCCGACTCGGAATGTATTCTCCATTTGTACGAACAAGCAAAGAAGAAACGTTTAGAAAGTGGTGTTGATATTGATCCTCTTACTGTCATTAACATGAAAGATGCTGTTGAGTTTGTTTCCAAATTGGACGGTTATTTTGCTACCGTTGTTTATGATACTACGACTCAAACTTTGGTAGCAGCTCGTGATCGTATCGGAATCAAACCACTCTATATGGGCAAGAAGAAGAATGAGGGACAAGCAATGGATAGTATTTGGTTTGCCAGTGAGATGAAGGTGTTGAGTGCTGCTGGTTGTTATGAAATTGAAAGTTTCCTACCTGGTATGGTCTATGTTCAACATGCTTCTCAACCTATCGGAACCATGCAACAATACTACAATCCCATTTGGTTCGATACTTGCGTCTATCAAAAACCAGAGGAAACCGATTTGAAGAAGATTAGAGAAGGCTTTGAGGCTGCTGTTCAGAAGCGAATGATGTCCGATGTCGAGTTGGGAGTATTTTTGAGTGGAGGTTTAGACTCGAGTCTTGTGGCTGCTTTGGTCAAGAAATTTACCACTCAGGAACGATTGCATAGTTTTTCAATTGGTATTGGAGCGAATGAGAGTTCAGATTTAGTGGCTGCTCGTAAAGTTGCTGCTCATTTGGGAACTGTTCATCATGAACATATTTTCTCAATTGAGGAGGGAATTGCTGCTTTGGAAAAGGTTATTTATCATTTGGAATCGTATGATGTGACTACGGTGAGAGCAACCACTCCAATGTTTTTACTTTCTCAATTAGCCTCTCAATACATTCGTGTCATTTTGAGTGGTGAAGGAAGTGATGAAATGTTTGGTGGTTATGTTTACTTTAGAGATGCCAAGGATAGTCAACAATTACAAACTGAATTGGTCACCAAAGTTAGAAATTTGCACTTGGCAGATGTGATGAGATGTGATCGTGCTACCATGGCTCATGGTTTGGAAGCAAGAGTTCCATTCTTAGATAAGGACTTTTTAGATACAGTCATGATGGTTCATCCAGATCATAAATTGCATTCCTATCATGGATCCGATGGTGAAGAACATAACATGGAGAAATTCATTCTTAGAAAAGCCTTTGATGGATTGAATTTGATTCCAAATGAAATTTTGTGGAGAACCAAAGTTCAATTCGGAGATGGTGTTGGTCATGGTTGGATTGATTCCTTGAAGGAATTTTGTGAACAGAAAGTGAGTGATGAAGAATTCTTAAAGGCATCTGAAAGATTCCCTTACAACACTCCAATTTCTAAGGAAGCTTATTATTACAGATCAGTCTTTGAGAAGCACTTCCCACAAGAAATTTGTGCCAAGACTGTGAAGAAGTGGTTGCCATGGTCCAAATTTGAAACAGATCCATCTGCTCGTTGGCAAAGAGCCTATGCTGTTGAAGAACCATCCAAGCAGTAATAAATTTCTTCATTCCTCCCTCGAATGTTTTGTTCGAATGATTTGGGAATTCGCTTCTAATCAAACAACAAGTTGTAAAAAAAATCATCATCACCATACGATTGATATCGGAAGTGATCACGTTCGGAAATAAAACATCGTGATCAAGCAGTAGCGACGCGAATATTCGACTCTATTGCCTCCGTTCATTATTTAAAAGAGAATAATCGTGATCATTACACGTGTACAAAAATCATACAATTTTTAATTTATTAATATCTTAAATCTCTTACTAACGTATTTGGGTGATCATCATGTTTGCCAAGAGAATTCAGAAAGAAATTCAAAAACTCATAATTGAGCAAGATCAAAATCAAAAAGCTTTACAAAATGGAAATACAGCTCTCCGACAACAATCGGGAATGGGAATTGACATCTTCCTTCAACAACCCATAGATAATCTTGAAATCATCTATTGTACACTTTTCGGCGCAAAAGGAACCATTTACGAAGGTGAAGAATTTCTGCTCAGATTTAAGTTTCCAAATGATTATCCGCTATCAAGTCCCGAAGTTGTTTTTATTCCTCCAAAAACGCCAATTCATGAACATGTTTATTCAAATGGTCATATTTGTCTGTAAGTATGCAAGATGGATTGGTAGATTCAAAAATTGTCTAATTCTCCAATAATTGATTCAAATGAATGAATGGAACACTCTCATTCTTATTTGATCTTTTCTTCAACACCATCCAATAGTAATATTTTATATGATGGTTGGTCACCAGTCATGAACATTCAAACGGTATGCTTATCAATTCAATCCATGCTGAGTTCAGCAACTGAAAAAAAGAGACCCAAAGACAATGATTCCTATGTCTTGACTTCCACTAAAAGCCCAAAACAAACACGATGGTTCTTTCACGATGACACTGTGTAAAATGGTATAGTAATAAAATGTAATAAAATAGTTCCAAAAGATAAAGGTCAATATTTGATGACATGTCACACGTTATTGTTGTCGTTTTTGATTTCTAAGAAGAAAAAAATGTCTCATCACAAACATCCGCCACCATTACCAACGACCACCTCAAGCAAGCAAGGCTCATTCTTCAAATTTTTCTCTCAACCAAGTGAGAATGATGATGATGGACTTTCATCCTTCTTTTCCTCTGAAGTTACATCATCAGCGACTTCGGATTTATTTGAATCATTGGTTGGAAGAAAAGATCAACCCACCGATATTCATGCTCCAAATTTTCTAGATCAACTTCGCCAGTTACCTAAATCCATCGTTTTGAAAATCTTGAATGATTTTTATATTTTAGATTTGAAACTCTATTTTACTATTATTGTGCGCATGATTTATCACAAATTTAGAAATAACAAAAATGTAAACACCTTGATGATGAAATTATTATTTGGAAAATTCAAGAAGGAACGAGAGGTCGTAGCCACTAGTAACACATCCTCTTCTGCTCTTGAATCTCCTTCTTCATCAGCAAGGCTATTGGATCATGTGATTCAACCACCAACATCATCGCCACAACAATTTGTTGATCAAGAACCAAGAAGTAATAGTTTGGACGTTCAAATCGAAACACCCAATGATTCACAAGTGCTCCATTCGAATGTATACACGATTGCAACCTTATTTAAAAATTTCTCTTTAAATATTGAACAAGATTTTGTGAATAGAGAACAGTCCAAACACAAACATTATTATCAAATGATTATTTGGTTGCATCATTTGGATACATTCAATTTCATGTTTGGAAATATTGATATTAATTATTTGGAATGGAAAGTTCCCTATCCTTCCATTTTTGACCAAATTGGGACGATGGGTAGAGATCCATTTCAAAGTGAACACTCTCTCAATGGTCAACTCATTGTCGGTGGAGCTAAAAGTAATCGAAAGTTTTTAATTCGTTCCGATGAACATTATGAACATATCAATAGAACACGTATCACTTCGTTAATTCAAGATACGTTGCATCAAGAGAGAGAAGAGGAGAAGAAATTACCTGTGATGCGTTCAGATTTACTATTTTTTATTTATTTGAGATGTATCAAGAGATGTGATATCAAAATTAATACTGGAAGCGAATTTTCATTTGATTACATGACCAATAACATGCTAGGAACCAATGTACTATATTTGGATAATATTTCTTTAGAAGGATCTTATTCCTCTGAGATTGCTAGTGATATTTTCAATCATTTACAATCGAGAGATGGTATGAAATTTTTGAAAATGGAAAATTATGGAGTGCCGTGCGATGTACTGAACTCTGTCATGCTTCCTGTCCTTTCTTCTCTTTCAAAACTACACATGACCATATTCAACAGTTCTAATTTGAAATCAGGACTGGATCAAATTTCCAATCTGAAACATCTCTCTGATTTAAAGTTAATCATTTCTCTCAATAAGAATTTTCCATCTCCAAACACATGTGATGTCTTGATGGATCAATTGACATTGGATTCTTCCTCTCTTGACAATCAAAGATTTAAATCTTTGAAAAGATTTCATTTAGAAAAAGATTCTTCATTATTGATCAGCGAGAAACCATTAGTGAAACTTTTCACAATTCTTAAAAGTGTAGGAAAATTAGAAAAGTTATCACTGGTGAAATTACCATATTCTCTCTCTCTTCATGAATGTCTAGTTGGTACCGGTAACCATAGATTCAAGGTATTACATACATTAGAAATTATTGAACCTACCTGTTTAGAAACAAATTTAGATTTTTCAAATTTGACATCTCTAGTGAGCTTGACGTTACGATGTTATCCAATTGTCACCACCGATTCTTCGCTCAAGTCTTCATCAAGTGTGAATCTTCAATGTAAATTGTCACAAAATCAATTGGATAGTTTAGATTTGAAAGGAATTCACATGGCACGAGATGTCACTATTGGAATTGCTTCCAAGAATAATATCGATCAGAATGAACCACAATTTTTAACAAGTATCATGAATCATGCATTTCCATCACCACTAACTAATCAGGACGACGCACCATTATTGACTTGTGTCGAAACTTTGAATCTCTCAACAACAAGAATTGTGAAATCGGATTATTTGAGACATCACGTATTTAATAGATCAGGGTTTCATAACTTGAAAGTGTTAAATTTATTACATTGTCACAAACACGAGACATCGATCGCTCCTGAACTGGTTGAGCAACTAGGAAAAAGCTGTCCACATTTAATAACGCTCAAATGGTCCAACTTTAAAAAGAAGAAATGTTTTGCACACTTGTTTTCGTATTACAAACATCAACTCAAAAACTTGACATTACGTCATTGCGAGTTTGACTGCTTATGGTTAGCCTATTTGTTTTTAATGACATCTATTAAGAAAGTCTCAATACAAACAGATGAGCCATTTCCTGATGGGTTTATTCAATCCATTGCTCCACTATTTCCCACCACAACACAAAGTTCAACAGCTTCAGATTATTCAGAAGTTAATGATATTTATAGCAAGTATACCGTGTATACTGTGTTTAGAGATTGCACAAGCTTGGAATATTTAAAGATTGAAACACCCAAATTTGTAGATAGCCAGTTAATGAAGGATTTGTTCGCAAAAAAGAGCAAATACCTTACTCAGCTAAAATTTGTTGTCAAAGACAAGGAACAAATGGATGTATATCATGAGCTCATCAAAGAACTTCAAAACGGCAAGTACAAGTAAAGCTCTGCCACAATTTACTAGTTGGACAAATTATTTTGTGAACTTTGCCAGTAATTCATGGCATACTTCCTCTTCATCGTCCTCAGTAAGGAACGATGGTTTTTGTTTCGAAATTTGTTCTAGAATCGGGTTCAGTTGCAGCATGTTGCATTGAAATTTCACCAAACAAGCTTCAATGAACTTGAGAGGCAGTTGGAAGAAGTGGCTCAGATTTCTAGCATGCAACAAGTAAAAGTGTGCATTCACAGGAAAGAGGATAACATTTTGTTGAATGGGAAGAGTGATATTGGTATGCGTCTCAAACAGCCGTAAAGCATGCACAATTTGTTCCAATGGAACGTCCATAGCTCTAAGTGCTGGATCTGAGTAGAGCATCAAGAATTGACAAATATTCACAAGGTTGTCAGTACCCAAAATATCCATTGCCAAACTAATATCCTTTTTGGAGAAATAAAAATTGTTGTTCACATATTCTCTAATTCGTTCTCTCTTTTCAAAATCAATATCTTCTGCTGATGGCATTACTACCATTGGTAATTCACAATTCTTCATTAATTTAGTTCTCTTCCAACTATCTCCAATAAACTCAAATAGATATAGGCACTTGTCAGAAAGAGATGCCACTAATTTTCCATTCGTTTTGATTACACTCTCAAAGTACTTTAAAGTATCTGTTGTAATTTCTAATCCACAGAATATAGCGTCAAAGTTTTCATAAGAAAGTATTGGAATATTGAGACTCTTTGGAATTAGAATATTCTTTTTGACAAACTCTATTTCACACATTTGAGCAGCGTATTGGCATCCATGAGCACTCGTGCAAAACTCGATTAATTTTTGTTTAGCAAATCCAATAACATTTTCATCAATATCTAGTCCAGTACAACAACCTTCTTCACCCACAATAAATGATGCCAATGCAGTGACGTATCCTGTACCACTTCCAACTTCTAAAAATTTCATTCCTTTTGATAATTGAAGAGCCTCTAATGCTCTAATGGCTACCAATGACGGAGTTATATTAAATTGAATGGAGTCGTCATAGCCCTCTGGTGTCAAGTGGTAATCAATGACAAATTGTCCATAATTAACAACATTTGCAAATTCATTTGGAGAGAAGGAAGACTTTGGAATATGCAATAGTGAGGATAACACTCTGTTCGACTCGATACCATTCCATTTGACAATCTCCTCTTTTTCATTATTTTTACGTAATGGAGTCTTGTATTTGATTGTAACAGGATTGGTTATAGTATTCATTAATTTCTGATTAATTTCGAGTAATTTTCCAGTTGGTAATTGTTTAGATTTGGGTTTGTTGTTGATTGGTTGCACATAATCCTCCATAATAGTATGCATTGGGTTGATTGTAAACATGTTCTTATTGTTAAATGTATTCTGAATAAACACTCTATTAAAATAATCAAGTCCAACGTTAATCGATTTTTCAGAACTACTACTAGTTTGCACGTTGGCATATAGTTGCAACTTTTGATTAAAGTATGAAATATCTGCTTGATGAATATCAAATTGGAATGGCTGTTTTTCTTGTCCAAAATTAACATAAACCTTCATGTATTTGGATCGTAAAACAATGGCAAACGATAAATCTTTTTCTTCAACTTGATAAGGAGCAAATCCCACAAGTTTTCCATTCCTAGTAAAATAAGCAATTTGAGAAGGAATAGAACTGTTCATTGAAATATCATCCACTCGTGGTACGGATATCAATCCACACCCAACTACATCTCCACATTGATACTGTGGACCAAATGGTCTTCTTCTAAAACGTTGGTTTTGACTCTTTCCAAATAAATACCCATCGATAGAAGAATATCCTACATTCATGGCATGTTCAATCGTGGCTGTATTCGGAGTATTACTACTACTACTACTACCAACAACACTTGCAAATATTTCACCATGGTAGGCCTTCGAGATGAGTCCAATAGAACACTTTCCAGATTCCCCTCCATCTAAAATTTGAACTTCAAAATATTTAAATGGAGATTGTTGAGCTGTAACAGAACTTGTAGCAAGCACGGGTTGTTCAATTGTGAGAGTATGAGTCATTCCAAGACCATCACTATCAAGCATGTCTTTAAAAGTGCATTCCAATACCATCTGATTGGAAGAAGATGCAGTGAAATAAGTTGTGGATGTCTGATCGATTGGAGTGAATTCAACACTACTCGAAGGAGTAGCAGAGGTTATGCGTGGAAAGACCTTTCTAAGCAACTGTTGTTGATCATCCCAACTAGTGGTGGCTGTTGTAGTATGCAATAGTTGAGGCACATTGACGCCATATGGTAGTGATGGTGAATGAATAAGATTCTCGGAAGTAACTTCTTCCTTTAAATGTTGGGATTCTTGTTGACTAAATAAGGGTAAATTATTGAATTCTATAACACCAGAAATAGATGTTGAAAGAGCGCCTTCACTTTGTCTAAATGGATATTGTGAATTTTTAAAAATTCCAGACTTGATAATAGACCTCAAAGGAAGAGAAAATTCAGCTAAAGATACATCTCTTTTCTTTCTCATGAGTCTTATCACTAAATTCTTGTCTAACAACTCTTTCAGTGATAGTTGCGTCAAGTAAATAGATGATAACTCATACCAAACCAAAGATAATTGAGTGTCCATCATTGTTTTAAAGAGTTGAGGGTTTGGTTGAGTAATTCCATGAATGAATGGTAAGGACCATGGAACAATTAATTGGAAGGATTGATTTGGGTAAGGGGACGTTTTAAATGAACTATCATTGCTGTTCTCTTCGCTTGTAAATCCGTATGAAAGATAGCAATCTTGTGTTTCCTCTTTTTTAAAGGTAGATGGTAAGATAATATTTAAATTTTTCAAATTGACTTCCACGTCACTAAATTGTTTCATTTGGCATTTGAATTGAATTTTACCGATCACAAATGGATGATTATTTAAAATAAAACTCTCTTGATGGATGCTTCCTGTGCAAATTGATAATAGATCAAAATTAATAGTTTTTCCAATTGGTAAATTATTAAAATCAAAACATTGTATCACAAATTGTCTCTTTTTCAATGAATCTATCATTCCTGTTTGATAATAGAATTGTTGCTTAAACGATGGCCATTCATACTTGTAAGTAGTGGCTGTACTAGTCTCTGTAGTGTTTGCTGTATCCATGACGATCTTGCAAGAGGTTTGATTGGAAGTAATGAATTGTTTATAATTTGCAAAATTCATTCTCAAAGAGGCTACATCTCTAGGTTTTGAGGTTACATTTTCAGAAGAGGCTTCAACTTTTCGGATAGACATTTCTTCAGAGAATAACTCCACACTAAAATCAGATAATACCACAAAGAATGAGTGATATTGAGAACAAAGGCTTGTTGTTGTATTGGTTGCGTCCAATACTGCAGAATGGTTAGAGTTTGGAATGGAATTAGAATTCATAGGAGGGTGATGAAATGGCGGATACTGCATCATCATGGGAGGAGCAAGTGGTAAATTTGAATGTTGAGAAGGTGGATGTATTGGAAGAGTTGGGTTGTTCATCATCACCATGGGTGGAGTCGTCATTCCGATTGTAAAAGGCAAAGATGAAAGAGAAGTGCTCATTTTTTTTGTATGAATCATTGAGTATAAACCAAATCGAATTCCATCCTTACCCTTTCATCCAAGTGATCATCTACATTTCAAACAAAGTTGAATCATAGTATTCTGTACTCGAACGGTGAAGTAAATAAATGAATGGTGCTGCATTCATTTAGCAGCGAGGTAGAGAAAGCTTGCCAATCCAACCAGAAAAAAATGAGCAGTACAAGTGCCCACTACAAAACTCATTCTGCACCGCACGCTCCTGCATCATCTTCGAGAAGCGGTGGTAGTGGTGCTTCATCCAGCCATCATCATCGGTCTTCTACTAGCGGATCATCATCATCCCGTTCAAGATCTCAACACACCAGTAACAATGGCTCTTCCGTACCTACGTCTTCTTCTCGCTCGGATGGTAGAGACCGTTCATCCTCTTCTCGCCATCATCAACAAGGACATGGCAAGGATAAAAAACGAGCTTCTTCTAGTAGTAGCGGTAGGGATCATTCAAAAAGTAAAGGCCATCATTCATCAACCAATCAACAAGCTAGTGCATCATCAAGTGTATTGAAAGCACCAATTGTCAAAATATCTGAACATCCTCTCAAAGAAATGAAAAGTGCATTCCTTTGTAATATGAGATTTCAAACAGGATTACCTCAAATTCAATTAGATCCTGTTATTTTGGAATATCCTGTTGAAGATGATTTATCAAAGCTTATTGAGTACAACACAACATCTTTGGAAAAGAATCACAAATTCGAATTATTGACAGAAACCACTATGGGTGTTAATATTAATTTAATTAATCCATTTGTATATAGCAATACTGCTGGCAGTAACAAACTAGATCCCGAGGATGAAGCTTTACTAAAACCTGTTAAATCCAAATCTGAAGGTATTGGAGCTGAAAAGCAAGTAATTGAAACAGCAAGACCAGCATGGCTAAAGGCTCCAACTTATGTGGATATGATCAATTACAAGAATGCTGTGAAAGGATATGGTGGAAAGGATGAATTGATGCCTACTGAAGAAAAGGCTGTTAAAATCAAAGGAAGAACTATTTCTCGAAGAGAAGAAGAAAAACTTAGATTTGAGAAGGCAAAGCAACTGGATGAAAAGTTTGCTTCAGGCTCTCTTTACAAAACCTTACCTGGAGGAGGCAAGTCAAAAGCTGTGGCTTGTTTCTCTCTTCTCCCTGACATGGATACAATCAACACAAATTATTTAGCAGTTAACTTTGGAAGTGATAATCATTATTTGCTAGGAAAGAGAGGCCGTAAACACCAATCCGAGTTAACACCTAAGGATGCAAGTGATTCATTATTACTAATCAGACCAACAGAAGATATTATTGATGCTGAAAAGACAAATGATGATCGATTTGTAGATTGTGCACAATATTACGTACCAGTGTCTGTCTCTACTCAAGATGAAGATTCTGTTCTTGATCCTACAAAGAATGTTGGAAATATTGTGGAAATGGTTCGTGAATACTCAGGTACTATCTATGAAAAGAATGTATGCAGTGTGAACATGTCTGCAGAGAATCAACAAAGATTCAAATTAGCCAACCGTCTTCTTGCACGTGACAAAATGTCTCAAGCTGAAATTGAGCCATGTGTTGCCATGAAATTTGATCGAGACAACTCCAAATGTTTGTATACCTTCATCAAGGAAGGAGTGAACTTTAAGGTAGTTGCAAAAAAGAGAAAACGCAGAGTGTTTACCAAAGTTAAATTGCACGGAAAGGGTAACGAAGATGAAGATGTTCCATTCGAAGACATGAGTCATGTCTTGTCACGTGCGGATGAATTTGCCAAGGCATCAACTTCTGGTGGATTCACTAAGAGCTCAAGATTGGGTAGTGAAGATGAAGAAGGTGATCAAGACATGGAAGAAGGAGCGACCACTCAACAACCCAACGATGAAGACTCCGAAGAAGAAGTCACATTAGGTATTGATGAGGAAGCAACAGATGAACAACATCAACCTTCAACAAAGAAGAAGAGAATTGATGATGAAGAAGAAGAGGAAGAAGAGGAGAACAATGAAAATCTTCCAACCTCTCCAAATTCCGAAGAGGAAGAGGTCCATCAAGAAAAAGTTCAGCAATCCGAAGAGGAGGAATAATTCTCGTGAAGTATTATTATTAATTTATAAATTTCTTTTTAATATAATGATTCATCTAGCAATACATTTACTTGTTTCTTGGCTTGGAGATGTAATTAGTAGCCAAAGAAGCCAATGTCAATGAAGCAATATAATTAATACGGACATCAAGTCTCTTCAAAGAGTAGAAGCTTAAGAACAAAGTAATTGCAAAGAAGATGACATTGGAAATGAACAAAGCATGTCCGGTAGCACCTAAATCAGCCAACTTCTCCTTTTCACCCATTCCCTTCTTGATGGCTCCCTTTGCTGAAGAGAGAACCTTTTCATAGGAATCACTCAAAACTGGTTTCTTACGTAAATAATAGAAAACATATGCTTTAGAGAGGAAATAAGCTGAAGCGCTAGAAACAGCAAGATAAAGAACAATGGTAGCTCCTGAAAATTCTAGATTCAAAACTCCTTGGAAAAGATCTATTGATGTTATTAAAATAGCAGAGAAATGATGGTTGATGATGAACACGATATTTGAATGACGAGAAAGCAGAATCATCAACGAGTATGTTGTTGTTTCAATGTTGGTAGTTGATGAAGTGTGTTGTTGTTTGTTTCAAGGTCGGTCGATCGATCATCATGAAATTCATTTGATTCACGAATGCCAACAATCAACAATTAGTGGTATTAATAAAAACAATATGATTGCAAAAAACAAAATCTATACTAACATGATGGTAAGAATGTAGTCAACAAAGCTACAAAGTAAAAGAAAAAGTTCTTGCTTGTATCAATCGTTCTTTCTCTTTTGGCTTCCTTCACGAATTGATTCAAAATTTTATCGTCGTCTTTCCTTGCTTGTTTTGTGGCCATTTTTTTGTGCTTGTGATTTTTAGCAGCCCATGAACGCACACGTCATTCTCAAGCTTGCTTTACAAAAATTGAGGAAGGCTTCGTTGGAGCTCACATGACACATATTCAAATGGTTTTATTGTTTCAAATAACAACAGCGTCTCGAGTGCTATCGACTTGATGATGTACAAAAGGTGTCATTGTTTTTCAGAATGACTGAAAAGGCGGTCTTGAGTGTTGCGAACATTCTTACAAACTTTTTCTTTCAAATAACTCTCAATTTGTATCTGGCAATGGTGAATCCCGAATTGCAAAATGGATGAAGAATGTTGAAGCCTAAATCAATATTTGATGAAATGAAACATGATCATTGCTCAATGAGAATGAGTATACCTACTTCTTTTCCTTCTCAATTATTTCATCAAGAGTTAAGCCTTAAACAAAGCAGTGCGTTACAGCAGTATTCTTTGCAACAATCATCTACTCACTACAAGATTGAAAGTCTTTTAGAATGCTCTTCACCTCTGAAGCAATAGGCCTGAACGATGGGGAGGTTGTTGACATTTTGTTGAGCAAGGAATCGGCCTCAGGAATCGTACCGAAGCTGCGGAAAAGCCTTTGCATACAACAAAAAAAATATCCCCAAAATCAATCCTCTCATCCGACCATTAACATGAGCTTTGTATATGACGAATTCGGCAGACCATTCATTATCTTGCGAGAACAAGATAAGAAGCAAAGACTAAAGGGTGTTGATGCTATAAAGGTAGGTTGTATTACCAAAATATAAATCTCATCATCACAATTTATTTCATTCATGTAATAATTATACAACAACATCATCTTCAACAACACCAATTCACTACCATAACACCATTCTCATCATCTATTTAGTCCAATATTTATGCAGCCATTAAAGTTGTAAATACACTCAAGACCTCTCTGGGACCCAGAGGTATGGATAAGATGATGGTGAGTCCCGATGGTGATGTTACAGTCACCAACGACGGTGCAACTATTCTTGATAAAATGCAAGTGAACCACCAAGTTGCAAAACTCCTCGTAGAACTCTCACAATCACAAGACGATGAAATTGGAGATGGTACTACTGGTGTTGTTGTATTGGCAGGAGCTTTGCTTGAAAAGTCTTTGGAATTACTCGACCGAGGTATTCACCCAACAAAGATTTCTGATGGTTATGAAAAGGCAGCTGATATCGCTTGCGAGGAGCTGGAAAGAATTAGTGATAGACTTGAATTTTCTAAAGATAATCTTGAACCATTGTTAAAGACTGCTTCCACTACTTTGAACTCTAAGATTATTAACAAATTCAGAGAAAAGTTTGCCAAGATGTGTGTTGACGCTGTTATGAGTGTTGCAGATATTGATAGAAAGGACGTCAATTTGGATTTAATCAAAGTTGAAGGAAAGACTGGTGGTAAACTTGAAGATTCCCAACTTGTTGATGGTATTGTGGTCGATAAGGAAATGAGTCATCCTCAAATGGTGAAAGACATTGAAAATGCAAAGATTGCTATTTTGACTTGTCCATTTGAACCTCCAAAGACAAAGAACAAGGGAACTCTCGAAATTGACACTGTTGAAAAGTATAATACCTTGTATGAGATTGAACAAAACTATTTCGTAGAACAAGTGAAGAAATGTAAAGACTCTGGAGCAAACTTGATTATATGTCAATGGGGATTTGATGATGAAGCAAACCACTTACTTTTACAAAATCAACTTCCAGCAGTCCGTTGGGTTGGTGGTGTTGAGATTGAATTGATTGCTATTGCTACTGGTGGTAGAATCATTCCAAGATTTGAAGAATTGAGCTCTGAAAAACTCGGTTCAGCAGGCAGAGTGCGTGAAGTCACTTTTGGTACTACTTCCGATAAGATGATTTTCATTGAGAATTGTGCCAATACCAAGGCAGTTACAATCTTTATCAGAGGTGGTAACAGAATGATTATTGATGAAGCTAAGAGATCTATCCATGATGCTTTGTGCGTTGTTAGAAACTTGGTGAGGGATAATCGAATTGTTTACGGAGGCGGTTCAGCAGAATTGGCTTGCTCCTTAAGATTACAAGAAGAAGCCGATAAGGTTACAAATGTTGATCAATATGCTATCAGATCCTTTGCAGATGCATTGGAGTTTGTTCCTCTAGCTCTTGCCCAAAACAGTGGTTATAACTCGATTGAATGTGTCTCCAACGTTAAGGTTGAGCAATTGGAGAAGAAGAATCCACGTCTAGGTGTTGACTGTATGAATAGAGGTACTAGAGACATGAAGGAACAAGGCGTGTTTGAAACTTTGGCCGGAAAGCAACAACAAATGAGACTTGCCACTCAAGTTGTAAAGATGATTTTGAAGATTGATGACGTGATTATCAACCAAAGCACCCAATTCTAAATAAATTATTAATTTATAAATTGTTGAGAAAGCGATTGTATCAAATACATCAGAGCGTAGAATTGAACATGATTGAATTCTGGGGCTTGATTCATTTGTTCAAATGCTTATTTACTCAAAGTTTGTGTTTTGTACAACAATAAGAATGTATTCCTTGTCTTTGTTATCAATAGCAGCATCAAAGAACATGGTTACTTCCCGATTACATTTGTACTTGATACTTACCTGGGGCAATCAAAATTTCATGCAACTTTGTTCTCACTCTCAAAAACGTTAAATCATTTTGAGGATTCAAGTCTCTAACAACAGATCGAGCCTTTGCCACTAGTTGAGTGATGTTTGCTGCGTACTTGACTTTAACATCATCATTCATAAAATCCGATCGGATAGGAATACCTTCGCTGTTGACAATGACAATACCTTCCACTCCTTTATGGGATTTAATTCGTTTTAAAGTTTCATCAATTTCGCTCTGTTCATTGTTGAACCACAATACAACGCATGAATATAATTGTGTCGTCACTGTTGCTATCGAGTGTTGAACCTACCATTGTATTTTGACGTTTTTTTATTGTACTTGTTTGTTCTTGGAAAAGGCGGGAACTGCAAATCACGACAGTCAAAAAATATTAACAACTGAAAATGCCTAAAAAGAAAGAAGAGAAGGTAAGAGAAGGTAAGGCTCATCCAAAGATTGCTATAAGGGAGACAGAACATTTGTTTTATTACGCCAGATAATTATTATCGAAATAATATTGTAATAATTTCTTGAAAAAATTAAAGAAATCCACTCCCGAACAAACGCCCGAGGAACTCAAGTCGCAACTTGATGATTTAAAATTGCAATTTAATTCTGAAAAAACCACTCTCTCTCTTGCGATACAAACGCTAACTAAAAAAGTAGAGAGGAAGTAAGTATGAAATGATGACAATTTATTAAATCCGAAACCAATTCCAGAACGGAAGAATGTCAACGACTGGAACATAAAATTGCAGAATTGAAATTAATCATAGAGGCTAGAATTCAGGATAATGTAAGTGAAATGGATGATCACTCATAATTAATCATGCAACGTAGAAAGCCATTTTGGAACAATTTGATATTGATCGAAGAAAATCCGAACAATCTGTTGAATATTTGCAAAAAGAAAATGATAATTTATTACAAAAACTGAGTGAAGTAAAATATCACTACGAATCAACCATCTCTGAGATCACTCGAACCAAAGATAAAGAAATTATTGACTTGAAGCATTTACTGAACACAACAAGGCATAATGAAACACAAGTAGAAGATATTCAGAAACTGAAAAACGAATTGGAAGAAGAAAATTCATCTTTGAAAAAGCAAATTCGACGACTGAAAGATGAACATTTTGTTGAAATTATGCAAATGAAAAAGATGTTTGAAGAAGAGTTGAAATCTCAAGAGCAAAATTTAATAGAAGGCTTTACATCAGAAAAACAAGCAATCATCAAATCTACAGATGAACATCTAAGTAAGGTAGGGAATTTATATTGAGATTATCATATTTGTTGTCTAATCCAACAATAACAGAAAACACTACAAACCATGCAGAAAAATCAACAATTAAAAGAGAGAATTGAACATAGTACACAAGAGGCTGGAAAAATAATATCTGAAAACAAGAGACTAGAAGAAGAAAACAAACAATTAAGACACGAAACTAGTAGGTATACATGTTGTGCAAATATTTATTACAACAACAATGATTGGTAATTGTTAATATTTATTACAAAAACAATGATTGGTAATTATTTATTACAACAATGATGATTGGTAATTATATAACAACAATGATGATGATTGGTCCAATGAAACCATTCTCTCATTTCGTTTTGTTGTCAATGTTGCATGCAAACCATTTCAGATATGGAGAAAATAGGAATGGATGAAATGCAAAAGAAATTAGCATCCTATCTCAAAACAATTAAATCTCTCTCACAAAAGATTAAAGAAATGGAAGCTCAAAAACACATTGATACACCCACACGAGAAAAGTATAAAAATTATACTCTTGAGGAAATGAAGAATTTGGCTGAAGAAAAAGATTTACTAGTTGCGAGTGCTCGAAAGGAAATTGAAACTCTCAAAGATCGTTTAGATTTGTACAAAAAGTCAATGGCCAAGTATGAAGCACAAATTCAAACCGAAGATGAAATTGGAAAATTTATCATACAAGTCATGAATGATATTAAATTAGGTTATTGGAAAGAGAAGGGTGAAGAAATTCGAGATGCCTACAATAAGAAAAAAGGAGATCAATGGAAACCAGAAAAGGATGTCATTCCCATGAATTTAACCAAATTATCAGTACAAGAGAGAGAAACATTGTTCAGTTTTTTACTTTCCAAATTGCACACATTTGATCGAAAAAACATTCGAAAAGAACCTTCTACGAATGATTTATTGTCAAATCATCAGAATAATATTACGAGTAGTGGTGGTGCTGGTGCTCGTGTTGGTTCTGGTGGTGGTTCTGCAACAAGTAATAATCATCATTCAAGGTCTTCACCTTCCCTATACTCTCCTTCTCAATCTCCAGTGGTTGTAAATACTTCTCCAATCCTTGCAAACAGTGACCATGGTGCAGGTGGTGGTGTTGCGAGTAGTGAGGAATTTACTCTTCCTCCCATTCATTATCATGTGAGTTACAAACAACGACTTGCAGAGTTCAGAAAGAAAACTGAAAAGTATTAAAAGATTTTGTAAAATCAATGAATGAATGAATACATATGGATCTCTGAAATTCCACAACGGATTGATTGGTTGATTCGTTGGGAATTCTGTGTGTAGAAATGTCAATCACCCTCGCCAGTGTCTCGAAAAGGATGCCCCAAAAAAATGAGTTCTCATCATCATCACAACCCTCACAATCACGACGCCAAACGAACCACACCACCAAGCAACCCCATGTCGTCAACACCGCATCAACAACGTCCAGGAATACCATCAAATATTCCTCCACCAAGACAACACGGAGGAGGATATTATTACGGTTATCAACCTTCTCCAAGTACTAGAGGTAGTAGTAGCAGTGGCGGTGGTGATCATCATTATCCACCTCCGAACCATCATGATAATTATCATCCTCACCACCAACAACAACCCTATCATCGTCCTTCTGCATCGTATGAAAACTCTTCAGAGACTTATCATAAACCGTATGGTGGTACTAGTCGCCACTATGAAAGAGGCTCTTCTTCACGAAATTATGATCCATCATCGTCTCATCAAAAAAAACGAAATTATGATCATTACACTCGACGAAATAATGATGGCGGAGGTAAAAACAATTCTAACAAGTATAGAAAGAATGAACCTCCTCCTCTTGATTCTAATACTATCAATTTAAAGGCTAACGATAACAAGGTTCCTCTCCGAAATGGAATTCCAATTTGGAATTTTTCAATTGATCATTCTCAATGTGATATTAAATCCAATGGAGAGGAACAACGAAAACGATTCTTTCAAATCAATGCCAAAGAAGGAACTTTAGAAAATCCTGCTTTTGCATCATTTATTGAATATCATCGATATAAGAAAATTGTTCAATTGAGATTAGCCTATGAAAATGATGTGAAAGAATTACTATTTGATTTAGAAGCACCAAAAGAATCTTTGAATCGATGGTTATTTGAACAGTTATCATCGGTGGATTCATCTCTTGTTGATCCTTTGATTTCATTGAATCATGAATCATTGAATACAATTGAAGGTAGTAGCAGTGGCAGTACTAGTAGCAGCAGTAGCAGTAGCAGTAGCGATACCACATGTGAGTCATCATCATCGAGTAGTGGTACCACTACTACTACTACTACAAGTAACATCACTTCAAGTCATGATCGGTTTGTGCATTCCAACCATTCTCTTCTCATTGAAAAACAATCCACCTCAGATTTTTTATTGAAAAGACCTGAATTTGCATTAGAAAGTGAAGTGTTGAGAGCTGAAATTTATTCTGAAATTCCAAGTCGTTTGAGATGTCGAACCATCAATCAAGCACTCACTTCTCTTGATCATTATTACAAGAATGGATGGGAATGGCTTAAAAAAGTGAGAACCTTAAATCAACCTCAACTATGTGAACAAATTGAACAACAATTGAAACAATTAAGAGATTGGATGAATCACAGTAATACTCAAAGGCAATTATCTGTGTTAGAAGAAAAACAAAAAGAATTAACCAAAAATTGTAGTATTTTATTTAAACAAATTTTGAAGGATCGAGTGGATGAAGTGTGTCGAAGACTTGTGGATCATTCCAAGAAAATTGCAGAATCATTGAGTACAGAACGATTGAAAGAATCATTTACTCAACAATCCATGGATGTTCAATTGGAATTTCATGAACAAGAATTACTTTGTAAAGTAACTTTGTATTCTAGTGATAGTAGTAGTGGTAGTAGTAGCGGTAGTAATAATATCCATATTGGTAATAGTCCTACCCATATTGGTAATAGTCATAACAACAACAAGAACAATGGTAACAACAACAATAGAGATCTCAACAACAACACCAACAATGGAAATGATGAAAAATCATCACTCTCTCTTCAACCCATTGATACATTTAAATTGAATTTAATTCACTATAACAAATTGAGATTACTCTACAAGAAATGCAACACTGAGAGAGATCCAGAAATGAAAGAATTTCAATATAGACTCTATACTCTCATTCGAAGATATCAAACATTCTTTGGAGATTCATCCAGTGAAGAAGGAGCTAATTTTCATGCAGCTCTTCCTGAGAAGGGATTTGATTTTTTGACAAGAGAATTTCAAGTGTGTCATGAATGTTTTGCATCACCTATTAATTGTTATTTTAATTCATTCTGTAGTGCATTTCCAGATACAGATGTTTATTTTGGATCGAGAGGATCGTTCTTTGAATTTAGACCAACACGAGGATTCTTTGAATGTGGACCACCCTATACATTGGAAGTCATGAATAAGACTGCTAGGTATTGTCTCGAGTTATTGAAATCATCCAATGAACCATTAGCATTTGCTGTTTTTGTGCCGGAATGGACAGATACTGAATATGGTAAAATTTTACACCCGGATCATACTCCATTTTGTACGGGACATTTATTGGCTGAACAAGGAAAACACGAATATGTGATTGGAATGCAACATTTTAAAGAGAATGATCAACGATATTGGACTCTTCCTTTTCCCACTCATGTTTATTTTCTTCAAAACGAAGAAGGAAAGAAAAAGTGGCCAATCACACCACAACTGATTGAGAGGTATAAAAAGGTGATGGAAATGAATACCACGAATGAAACGAGTGGTAGTAGTAGTAACAAGTAGCAGTGTATGTCAGTGAAATTAAAACTGTTTTTTAATTATTATTTATTACAATGTTACAAGTGAGCTTGAATCTGCGGATAATTATAAACTACTTTTGAACTACGGCGGTGGTTAATAAATCCCTCAATTGTTGAGTAAGAGTATTACACACACTCTCACTCTCACACTCAACAATGTAGTGCGAAGATTTGGGTAGAATGTTCAGAGATACTTTTGTCTTGTCATCACTGTCCATTGTAGGTGCATTGAGTAATTCCACTTCAGATAATTTGTACAATTCAGAGGGATTTCTTCCTAATAATGATCCAACACTAAAGTAATAATGCGAATCCTCAACCGTAGTGAAAAGAATTCGATCATTGAAGAGATGAATTTTAGCCTTTTCACGAATCACCATGTTGCTCGACGAGGTGGTAGAATTCGAGGAGAGGGCAGAAGTATTTGGAAGAATCATCATGCTACTATTACCACCACCCCCACTACTACTACTACTACTACTTGGTACAATATAAATCTTGACACTTGTGGTTGAAATGAATCTTCGTGTCGATACAACCAATCCATCAATGGAATATTGTGAGGCAATATCAATCAAATTTCTCAAATTAGCAATATCTTTCATCTTTCGATTAATTTCATGAGCAGTTGCTTGCATTTTAGTAGAAGCAATTTCTAAGAGAGGATAATCTGGATGATCTGTAGGTGTTTCTTTCATGATCGCCTTAATTAATAAACAATATTTTACAATACGTTGACATGGCATGATCAATAAACTTGAAATATCCAATCCATCAGTACCAGTCACTGTTTTTGCCATTTCAATCACTTGTTTGAATTTTGGATATTGAGAATAGGCTTGTGGTAGATTTTGATGAACAGTACGAGAATAGTGTGATTGATAATCAATATAGACCTTGAAGAAGGGAATGAATCTTTGGAATACTTGACCCACTGGATGCTCATAGATTTGTTTCTTCAACAACAGTAGTGAACGATTGAGTTCCGAGTTCTTTCTCTTCTTTGAAGGTATTGTACTGCTCTGACCATGATTATTACTACTCTGACCATGATTACTACTCTGACCATGATTACTACTCTGACCATGATTACTACTCATCATACTACTACTACTCGTATCATTCGTGGAACCATGATTCTCACTTCTAATCTCCATGTTCACATTGGATGGTTCTTGTAAAATCTTGACCAATTCTCGATAAAACATTTGTGAACATTTCAAAATATTTTCCAAATCTGGAGGGAATATCTTTTTGACAAATTGTGGACCATCTTGAATTCCACATCCAATAAATTTCAATTGTCCTTGTTGTTGTAAATCATCACAATTACTAATAGGTAACATGAATTCATTAAATAATGTTTCAAGATAATTCTTATATTTAAATTCAGATTCAATTAATTCGAGAATGGAATAGACACGTTTTGTAGTGAGTGCATCGGTATTTGTTGGAGATTGGGTCATGGTTGTTGTGGATGTTGTAGATGTTGTAGTAGTAGTAGTCAAAGATGAAGGTGATGATTTTGTTGAAGATGTTGTTGATTTGGGTGGAGTGGATGTCTTGTGAAGTGAAGGAGATTTCGATTTGGTTGAAGAACTATTACGTTCTGTTTTGTTTGGAGACATGGAACTTGTACTTTCAGTGTGACCAGATGGTGTAGTGGTCATTGAATCACTTGTAGTAGCAGTAGCAGTGGCAGTGGCAGTAGTAGCAGTGGTAGTAGTGGCAGTAGTAGCAGTGGCAGTAGCAGTAGTGGCAGTGGCAGTAGTAACAAAAGTCGAACGAACAACATTACCAATAGTGGTAGTACTACTACTACTACCAGAATGGATGGCATGGACTGTGCTACTACTACTATTACCGTGATCATGACTCCAATCATCTTCACTCACTGAAATGTCTCGTTCTAAATTTGGATTCTGTTTATACAAATCCATAATAATTTTCATGGCTGAATCAATATACTTGTTATTGGATACATTCAATTTCTTTAAATTCTTCAACAAAGTCAATTCATCTGGTAATTTAGAAAGTAAATTGTTAGAAATATCTAATACTTGTAATTGTTGTAATTTGGCAATGTCAGGTTGTAATGCAATCAATGAATTGTTATTCAAATAGAGTTCTTGTAATTGAGTACATTGTAATACATTTTGAGGAAGAATTTCAAATCCATTGTAACTCAAATCTAATACTCTCAAATATTTCAATTTGTTAAAATCATTAAACATGGATGTAAATAAATTTCTAGAAAGATTCAATTCTTCTAAATATGGAAATGAATTGGTAAAATGATAAGAGAGTGAAGTGAGTCGATTATCAGAGACATTCATTTTGGTTATTTTGTGTGTCTTGAATAAATTAAATAACTTGTGTGGAAAGATGGTCAAAGTGAGAGAATTCAATTTCAATTCACTAGCATTGGGTGTTTGTAAAAGTCTTTCAATTTCATTATTGACCAATCTCATATGAGGAGAGGATTCTAATGTTGTGTTGTTGTTGTTATAATGATGATGAGTATTATTATTATTATTACTATTCATATTCATACTCGCACGATTGGTACTTGCACTTCGACCACGTGCTGAGAGAGTACTTGGTGCTGTCCAATGAGAAAGATCATTGGAAGTACTACTACTGACGACGACAGGAAGAGAACCAATTGGTAATGAAGGAATCTTGGTCGTTGTTGTGGATGATAATGACAATGATTTGGAATCAACACCACCACTACTACCAGTGACACCTGAAGAGCGAGATCGAACATGAATGGATTGTGGAGAGGAAGACGATGAATTACCAAATGATAATTTTGGAACTTTGCTCGTCGTTGGTGTAGTGGTCTGCTGCTCACTTGGAGTAATGGTAATCATGGAATGATTATTTTCAGTTGTACTAGAGCATGATGATGGATCTTGTACAGTGTTCTGTAATTCCTCTTCATTGTCTTCATATTCTTCTCCATCATATTCTTCTCCATCATATTCTTCTCCATCATATTCTTCATCATCTTCATCGTCATCCATGAGCAAGGATCCTTGTTGAGAGGATGCCATCATAATTCTCTCTCGAATGATTTGAGCCTTATTTTGTTGATTCTCCTCTCCAACCATGATACGTTTGGATCCTCTCGGAGTGTGAGTAGAGACTTCCATCATGACTGATAAATGTTTGTTGTTCAGTGTGGAAGTTGTTGTAGATTTTAAAGACATGTTGTTGTTATGACTATAATGGTCAGTAGAAGAAGAATCCATATCATTCATCATGGATGTAGTAGAAGCAGCACCTCCATTCCAAGTACCAAGTTGTGGATTTTGAATGAATTGAAGAATGGGAGTGATAAATACCACATAGAATAGATGAAATAATTGATTCAAATAATTGATAATGGGTGATGATGAGTTGTTGTTATTGGCATGATCCTGTTTGTAAGAAGCATCCTCTCCTTCTTGTTGGGACATTTTTCTTGTGTGGTTTAAAAGTGACAGTTGGCTGTCAGACTTTTCAATAATAAATGAAATTGGAAATGAATGGATATAATTGGTTTTTACAAATAATGATAACGACAACTATAATATGGTGAGAAACAATAAACTCCATCAACTGCAATTGTATTCAACCACACATGCAACAATAACAATCTATTCTTGATCATATCCCAGAGACAAGTAAAGTGCTTGTTTCAAAATGCATTGGCGTGCAATGATTTCAAAAAAATTCACAACACGCGCACTGAATATGAAGAAGAACACTACTACGAGGACGAGGACGACGAGCTCGAATCACACGACTCTCTTCCCATTCCAAACACAAGATGTGATTCATTTTGTTCTTCAACATCAAAATGATCCCAATTATTGTTCATGTCAAATTTCACCAAAGAACAACACCCTTCAAAATCAAACTCCTTCTCCTCCTCTTGATCATCCTTCTCCACTCCTTCCATTCACCATTCATGAATCTGATATTCTTAATATTTATTTATTTGGTAGTCGATTGTATCAAACATGTGATTGTTCCGAATCTGATTATGATTTCATCATGATTATTAATTCTCATTATTTTGATGGATCAATATTAATTGAAGGAGAATTATTGAATGATCGAGAATTATCGATTCATGATTGTAATGATCATTGTTCACAATACAAGTTTCCAATCACAACGAGTGGTTATGAATCCATGATCAAGTCAATTACAACTAGTCATTATGAATCCATTCCAATTACAACTAGTCATCATGAATCCATTCCAATTACAACTAGTCATCATGAATCCATTCCAATTACAACTAATCATCATGAATCCAATCATGTCACTCACTCAATTTCACAATCCTATGACGTCAATGTCAATATTTATCATTTGGATTATTTCTTGCATTTATTGAATGAACAATATATTTGGATGATCATGTTATGTTATTTGAAACCACCCTTTAGTGATCGAAAAGAATATATTTGGAAAGAAGAATTTTGTTTAACTCGAAAATATTATAAACCTAATCAAAGTAGAATACCTATATTATTGGGAAAGGATGGAAAAATGATTCAAGACCACGATACCATCCTACTTGATGAAATGACAGTCAGTAGTAGTAGTAGTAGTAATGGTAGTAGTAGTAATAGTAACAACCATTCCATTCCAAAGACAGTCAGTAGTGAGGTAGTAGTAATAGTAACAGTAACAACCACTCCATTCCAAATTCTCTCAATCACACGTTCAACCACTCTGCATGGTCCATTCCCAATTTGGAATATTCTGGATTGGGTGGATTCAATTTAGTGAAATTTAAAAATTCAACACTCACCGACATTTCTCATCATATTGCAAAGGCTAAAAGATTATGGGTTCATGAAGGAGATTATCGAAAAGGTGCAAAGAATATATTACATGCTGTTCGATTTTTGGGAATTTCAAGAAATATTTTAAAATTACATGAATGGAAAAATGATGAAATTATTGCACATTATTTATCATCGAGTCATGAACATGTCATTCATTCAACAACAGAATTTCTCATTAATTTTTCATTTGGAAATGAAGAATGGGAATTTATTTTAAAACCTTATCAATTATTCATTAAGAATATGGAACATGTATTATTTATGAATGATCACCATTCTCGAGAAAGTGATTGTAAAATTATTCACTCCATGATCAGTAATGATTTGAGTCAACAAGTACAATTATTGATTCAAGAAGAATTGCATCGAATTGACAATATGTCTAGTAGTAGTATTGGTAGTAGTAGTAGTAGTAGTATTGGTATTACTTTGAATTCTGTTTCAAATACGAATCACACTATTTTATCCATCTATCCAAAAATGTTAAATGATTTATTGGATTTATTTAAAAAATCAACAACATCAACAACAACAACAACAACAACACTCTCTCATCATGAATATCGTTCCTTAACCTATGAAGTTATAGAAAAACAATATAAAGAACGATTAAGCGAAGAAATGCATGATTTATTTCATTTTACATATATTCATCATGATATGAATTCTAAAGCAATGAACCAAATGTCAAACACACATTCAGTAACAACAACAACGCCATTGAATACCAACACTACCTCTTCATTGAAATCATCCTCACTACTACTGATGACTCCAAACAAACTTGTTGTGAAAAAGAATATCAGTACTTCAAAATCCATTCGAGGTCATCGAAGTAAAAAGATGGTTCATTTAGAGAGAAGTGAATTTGAGTGTAGTTCATGTCCATATACCAATGATGATGATGATGTGCATGATACTACTACATGTAGTCAACATACGAGTAGTAGTGGTAGTAGTGATAGTAGTAGTGGTAGTTCGAGCGGTAGTTCAAGTAGTGGTGGTGAACATGAACATGATCATCTCAATGACTTTTCATTTCTCATGCAATACATTGAAAAGAATGGAGTAGAGTCATTGCGAAGAGATTTCTCCATGTTCATTCAACATCAATCTGTTTATTTCATTCATAATGATCATAACCATATTTCTATGAATACGAGTAGTAGTACGACACATACAAGCCTTTCTGCTCCTATCACTGATTCCTCAAATATTACTACTACTACTTCTAGTATCACTCATAACAACAACAACAATACTATTTCTACTAGTACAACATCAATCACTCCATCTTCAACAATCTATGAATATATTTATTGTACATTGGATCCACAATGTTCACCCATATGGGTTCAGTATACCTCCTCAACACAAGTAGACTCTGTAAAGAATCTTAATACATCACTTCCCATTATTGAGACCAATCCATGTCAATACTGTACCAGTATGGTATTGTTAAAAACAACAACAACAACACCTATTAGTACTACTATGATTGATAATGACACTACTACCAACACTCTTAATCATCACACCACTCCAATCACTTCCTATCAATTGGTTGCAGTGAATCATAAACCAATGATTGATTTATATTATGATGATGGATTAGATAATGATTTATTAGTGAAAAGTACTGATTTAGGTTTTGAAAAGGGAACATTAATTTATGAAAAATTAGATGGATTGACTTGTATGGTATTTCCAAATAGAATTATTCCTCATGATGGTTCTAACAATGATAATTATCATATTAGTAGTAGTAGTAGTACTACCAGTGATACTACTACCACCAATACTGATACTTCAACTACTTTTAATCACACCATGATGTATTCAAATGATTATCTCATTTATTGTCCTGATATTCAAAAGAAACAACGTTTTTTAAAAGATAATAATTGGAATTTAGGTGTTTATAAGAGAGTAGTAGATTCAACATGTCACATGATTCCTAGATTTCATCGTGATGAGACTTGTAGAAATGATATTCTCAATGATGCATTTTGTTCATCATCTCTTTCATCAAAACTCTCCTCCAGAATTGATTTGGAAATACAACAAGAACAACAAGCCTTAACTCGTATCTTTTGGAAGACATTTCATGAAATGGGTGGAACATTACCATCACAGCACATCACAGATTCATTCTTCAAGTGTTATATTTTTGAATTGTGTCTATGTGTGGATGACATGTCTACTACTACTACTACTAGTGGTACTATTACTAGTGGTACTATTACTACACCAATCAATCATGATCGAAAAGAATCATTCCATGATTGGAATGTTTTAAAAAATTTGAAATTTCAAAGTAGAATGCATCCAATTTCAAACTCTCAATCATGGTACAGGTTATATTTACATGGTTGTTATAGAATTTCTTTAAAGAATCATGATATCTTTAATTCCATTCATTCTACCATTAATAATACTACTACTCTAGTTCATGAACATGATATTCATAAGGAATCTCAACACATTGTTCACATTCCTACTCCATTTTTATTCAATTCATTATTTATGGATTATTATTGGAAACATCAACAGAATTCAAGAATACATGAAAATGATACCATTAGTAATAGCAGTAGTAGTAGTAGTAGTGGAACAATTTCTATCAACACAACTAGTGATATGTTCACAAGCAATCACTCTCTCCAACTGACTGTTAGAGATTTTGAAGAATTTCTTCGAACAATTCTCAGAAAATATATTCATCCATTGCATTCAAGTGGATTTATTATTCGAACCAAACAGAATGATCATTCAATAATGAAACAATCAACATCCAAAACACTTGGAATGATTGATACATCCAATCGAATGTATCAATTCATACATCCACAATTAACGAATCTGAAACAAGTTTTGAATTATCCAACTAATCATTTAAAAACAACACAACAACACTTTTTTAACATGTATCGTATGAATCCACAGTGGTGTATGGAATTGATTGAAAGATTTAAAGATCATTCAGAGAAGAGTCAAGATGATCATTCTCCATACTCGAATCATTATTCTTTTAAAATATGTCAAGAGTGTGTGAATGGTATTATTTTAGATACCATTCAATACTTTGAAGTATTATGTCAAAGATCATTGAAAATATTTAGAGAATGTTTAGAGGGTAGTAATATTACGAGTGATGATGATTCAACAATACCGGTATTCAAGAACAGTCAAGAACATGAGACGAGTATTGTTACTGCTGCTTTACATGAAAACTATTTAAGAAAATTATTTATGGATTATGTGAATTCCAAATATCCTAGAATGAAATTCTTCCTTGTGTTCGTGTTGGATTATTTGATGAATTTAGCAGAAATGCAACAAGGTCATTCAAAACCACAATGTACGTATGATGATAAATTGATCTTAGAAGGAATTAAGGAATTTTTCAGTTGCGCCCATCCATCACGAGTACAAACGA